CATTTTAGACAAATCAAATTTAATGACCAATTTCTGAAAGAAAATAAAAATTATTTAAAAACCAAGATAGATGATGGATAGAAGTGGAATGCCGGAGATACGATTTGTCCAATTTGGGATACATCAGCCAGATGTATCAGGATCCTAGAGATGATATTTACTCCTAGATTTGAAGCGCCGTTTGTGTTCTCTCAAATCTTAAACCTTCGGGAATCGTCATCATCTTTTCTTCTTAAGTTTCTTTCACTAAATTTTACTTCTTGAATAACATCATCGAACCCTAATCTCTTTGATTACCAGTAATACTTCTACTATCTCTACTACTATGGGATCTGAATTGACAATTGCATGTCTGTGCTAATGTGGTATGGCAACCTGAACTGATGCATGTACATACGAAGTCCTACATTGTTGTTGATCAATTGATCGGTCATTCATTTAACTTATAAAACTAAATACAAATAAACCTCAACAATCTTTTCCCAACATCAATTTTTATTCCCTTTATACATTACATTTGTAATTGAATTTGAGAAACGTAACTCTAAACAACATAGCCACTTTTCTTATCAATGAACTGATTTCCATTTTTTTTAATGGTCAATATAGGCACAAAAAACAAAAGCAGATTATACTTTTACAGGTCTGGAGTTGTTTGATCGAAAAAATTTCAATTCAACATTCTAGACTGAATCAAGAATCATTACACAGTCTGTCGTCAGTAGATTTCATCAAAATGTTGCAATATCCTGGGACTAAACTATGAATACTTTTTTCCTTATAACATTTTTGAATGCATTAAACACATTAGTATCACTGAAAATTATTGATTGCAAGTGTTTTTTCTTGTAAATTGCTTAATGGTCGTCTTACTGCTTTTAAGTTATCTGATCAATTACATAAAAATAGCTATTGTTATACACATTTACAAATAAATAAAACAAGATGTGTTCAGACGAAGAAAGATTTGTTTTTTTTTTAAATGTAAATACAGAGAGTAGTAGTAATTTAATGGGAAAAAATAAATAAAACATACCACGATCAAGTGTAAATGGTTTAAGCCAAATAATTGGTCGATTTAATGAAATAAGAAATGCATCTTGTTCACCATGACATCTATTAGTAGATGATTCCATACTTTGATTCGGTTCAAATTTTTCATCGGCCAACAGTGAACGTAAAGCAATGGATGTACGGAAAAAGGCTACATTTTGAAAATCTGGACTAAGTGCATGAAAAGTATCCTGGAAAAATTTAAAATAAGAAAAAGTTTATTTCAACAACAAAAAGTACATAGACACATTGATAGCGGAATAAATATTCAATTATAATTTAGACAAATTTACAATATTATAACCTTCCTTTCTAGTATTTTTATGACATTTAACTTTGAAGTATTATCAATCAACAGCAACGCAGAACTTCGAACGTACATGCATCAATTCAAGTTGCCATACCACATTAGCACAGTGATGCAATTGTCACTTCAAATCCCATCATAACAAAGGTAGTAGAAGTATTAGCAGTAATCAGAGAGATTAAGGTTCAATGATATTATTCAACAAGTAGAATCTAGTGAAATAAACTTTAAAAGGAAAAGAAAAGTGTGTTGACGAATCCAGAAGATTAGGATTTGAGAGAACACAAAGAATAAATACACCTGCGCCATTGGAAACGGTTTTGAATCTTGTAATTCAGGGTCTCTAATAATCGAATATTATCATCTTGCGGACCCCAACCAGGTAGTCGACAATTACCAACATGACTCAGTTCACTTGTCAGTGACTTCGTGGATTTGTGTAATGCTTGGATTGGCCACCCTTAGCTTTCTTCTAACCAATTCTTACATCGCAAAACATGGATGGACGAGGCATTCGGTGGTTAGGGTTACATAACACATGTCCTAACTACCTCAACTGATCAAGTTTCAATACTTCATCTATTGATCTGCTATCCTTACCTAGGACCTGTTTGAAGTATACGACAAAACATTCATAAAAACATATACAGTTCAGAAAATAGTAAATATTTGTTCATTATAGATGAATTTTCCATGTGATCAGTAAGTTCTGTATTATTGTAACACAGCCTTTTTGATGATAGGTAGAGACATATACAATACGTAGGAAGTTATAGACCTAGAATTTGTGCTGATTAACACTTGGTAACAACATGTATTGAATAACTGGTATTTACTTTGGAAAATGAAATCGTATGTTCCATTTTTCAGAAGGCATTATTACTTAGCGATTTCAACAGTTTACTGTTAACATTGGTTGGTGTTACTGGAAGCTGGCCAGATTCCATAGGTCAAATTGTCTTGATGGTATATCAGTTGACTAGGTTGTGCAAGGTTGATGATAATATACTTTACAATAAATAATGTATGAATGAAATAATACATTAATCTTTGAACTCACCTGATCAAAATGACCTAGATCCAGACTAATATTAGCTATAGTAGCATATATGAAAAGAGAATTATTACCTGTAACAAATAGAAATAAGAATAAACTGTGTATAACAGGAATATTAATCAAAAGTAATTAATAGACTGCATACAAATCCAGATAGAGTGTATAAGCCTGTAGTTCACTGTGTACTCACGAGCTTAGTGAACAATGCTTTGATATTTAGTGTAAAAAGGCACTGGGCTGAATTTTGAATTGTAAACATCAACACTGGGTTGTAGGTACGGTAAGTTCCAAAAAAAGGATGAAATGTATGTTCTGGACTACAGCGCTAACCACTATTCAACTCCAGCGAGAATATTTGATTATAAGATCCATGCAATATGCTGTAAATTCTCGGTATATTTTGAATATATGAACATCTTTAGAAGATTTGTAGTGCCTCCAGATAAACTTGAGTTCGCTCATATTTAATTTCAATACGCCTTTCGATTAACTTATGTAACCAAGCTATTTGTATAGCAACAACCCATATGTACCATTGGTATTTTTTACTGTATGGTTGGTATGAGCTTGTACGATTGAGTATTGCTTACGCCTACGCGCGCTTACTCATCCTTTTCGCTTTAATGTTAATCTCTTAATATCCCCATGAACTCACATGATCTGTATCGCTTGCTTTTGACCTTGTCAATCATTAATCGCTTTTATTCGTTTTATTCGCTGCTTCGTTCAGTCTTTCGCGCATTCGCTCGCCAGTGCACTACTACAAATGATGAGCCCAACGTCAAAATGGGCCACTACAGATTAAATGCTTTAAAGATAATCTTCTTCAACAGAGTGACCTTATGACGGTTAAAATTAAGTAAATTCTTGGAATATTGAAAATTAATTGATCTTCAATCTATTTGATTAACTGTCATATCTCTATAATAAGCATGATATTCTACCGACTAAAAAAAAATGTTCAACAGTTAATAATAACACTTACAGCTATTTAATCCTACAGACGAAGATTTTCTTCCATTATCAGAGAAATAACTAGATGTATGACTTGAACGTATATTTAAATTTGTTGGTCGTTTATGAGTTAAATTAGACGGTGGTTCATTGTTGGATGAATAAAATGTTGGCATAGTTTGATTATTTAATAAATATGTTTGTGATACACGATTGGTTAATTCAATTTCAATTTTTCTAGCTTCCAATTTAATTGCACCATTTTTTGTTGATGCTAATAATTGAATTTCTTTCATTCGTATTCTGCGAAAAAGAATATTAATATCAATGAAACAGAGAGAGAGAGAGAAGAAATGAAACATTGTTTAGTTGATTATAATAAAATAAGATTGTCCAACGGATCCTTAAAAAAAAACTGGACAATTTGAATGGATAAAAAATTAGTCGAAAATGAGAAAGTTAAGTTTCCGAAAAAAACACAGCCTTATAGTAACTAAAGGGTAAAAAAGCTTTGCATAAGAAGCTTTATGTGCACATATAATGATATGTTAATATCATTCTATTATAGTCTTATCAAGTAATAAATATGTAGGAGACATGAGGTTAGTTCAACTTTCCTGAAATACTATTAAACAAAAGGATAGCGTTTATAGTGAAATTCGTTCAAAAATGTCAAAAAAGATGTACTCTACTCTAATCTGGTGTTTTATTTCCCGTAAAATTGTTCTGATTATGATTAATCCTATTCGTCTAGTATTATTCTTATTGTGCACAGATAACTTCAGTGTTCTTAAGCTCTTGAAAGTAACCAATTGAAGCTAAGCACATATTACTAGTTTGTCAAAATTCATAATTGATCAGTGAAATTCAACGGAGACGAAGTTAAGCAACTGAAAAGTTGTTAAAGCTCCGATTTTTTATTGATTAAGACTTTCAGATTATCGATGTAATCAATTGTCTAGAAAAATTAATCGTCGACTATCTAGCAAGAGTATTCAAAGTTCAGATTTTCTAATACATTGATGACTGTTATTTGCAAACAAACAATGATATTTAATGAATGAGAATACCAACTATCAACTGAGCATCTATCGTTTTCGAAATTTTTCTATTGAGGCCTACTAGTTTGAAGTAATGTTTCCACAAAAAAACAATGGTTGCAAGCAACTTGTAGTTGATTTACGGGTTGATTAGAGACAAATATTAATTTATACTTGTACTAGGTAGTAATTTTCATTGACAAATCTTACGACAGATAAGATTATACTAGCAATTGTGTACAGATTGCAAGGCTTTTCGATAGTTAACGACAACAACAGAAGTTTTCAAATGCTTCAGTATTTTAAACATGTTAAAAAGTCAGCACGTACGTACATACAGTGAAATATTAAAGAGCTATATACATTTACGGAATTTCACAGGTTAGCGCTAAGAAACGAAAGGTGACGATTAAAATATATCCAATTAGCTTTCTTCTTGTTGAAATGCATGAATATGCATAGGATTATAAGGAAAATCTAAACAACAGAGGTAAATATGACATGGATGAAGTCGAATTTTAAGAGACAGACAAAAACATCCCATCACTATTGTAAATCGAGGAGTATACTTGATAATTTTAGTAAAAAAAAAGTGGAAGTCAATTAAAATGGAAATGCAGTCAGTCAGTCAGTTACAAAGTAAAACTTCGTACATGAGTACATAAGCACATAGGTTGCCATACTCCGTCAGCACAGAGAGGCGACTGTCAGTTCAAATTCCATAGTGGTAGAAATAGTAGAAGGATTAGCGATTATGGAGAAGATTTGGTTTCGAATAAATTATTCACAAAGCATAATTCAGTGAAATAAGTTTATAAAGAGAAAGATAGAGATTGAAATTTTGTGCAAATACAGCTGATGAGAGAAAATTATGGTGTTAACAATATTGAAAATAAAAAAAACAACGAAAATATAACGATTACTACTCTCAACAAGAGAGAGAATACTTACTTGATTGTAAATTTAGTTCTTCCACGTGCGGCACGTGATAAAAGCCAATCACCAGTTGGAGTATAATGAGTAGAAGGCCGTGTTGGGTCTTCTGGTTGACTCATTTGATTAGGTGTGAACCTTGAAAGTGGTTTACGCAGGCGGGGTCGTTCTTCACCAGCCATTTTCTGTATAACTTCATTGATTTCCTGAATAACACAGAAAAAAATGATATAATTATTGCTGTATAATCAATTCAAAGGTGATGATCGGCAATAAGTCATACTTAAAAAATAATATCATGTAATTTTACTCGGAATCTTTTCTTGTAAAACATATTTGTTAATTAGCTTATCACTTATGTACACATTTTAATCAACAAACTATTCAACGGACAAAATATAATCAACATCATATCCTTTTTACAATAACTTATCAATAAAGTTAAACATTCGTTAACATGAAATGAAACCAGTGAGTGATATTCGAGAATAATGAAACACTATTGTTTTGAGTATAAAATGATAGATTGCAAAATGAAGCCCGACCGTAGCTGCTACCTTGACGTGGTGGTCGGGCTTGAATATCGTCATGACCCAACTGAGCTATATTGGCTGCAACATATGTTGCTGAAGGATTTACCATACCAGGCAGGTCGATTGGAGAACGATGAGACTAAAAGCAGCTACCCAAGGTCTGAGGGCCAAGTCGTACTGCGGACCGCAGAGGGGTGTGACAGCAGTAAGGTGTTTCCCTCGGACAACCAGCATCTGCAGCGATGCTGCCTTCTCTTAAGGAACGAAGGGTTAGAAAAGGTCGACCCTAAAAATGTCACACCTCACCCTACCTCACGGATTCCCGTCTCCGGTGGTAAGGGTGCCCACTAAGGGCTTTTAAGAGCGGAGCTAATACTCAAAAAACCTTTCATAAAAAGGCCTCAAGCAGTTGTCCCTTGGACTCTGCGATCACGCTCTCAGATCTCTAAGACCGACACCAATCTACCTTTCTTTTCAGATCCCTCAAGAAACAACCTTCCACGGTGTGAGCAGCCGGTAAGTGACAACCGCCCTCATACCCATAACAGCACACGAGACCAAACTGGTGACCCCATAATGAAGGCTGCAAAAGTAATCAGAGCCGGTCAAGTGAAGTTTGATTTAAAACCTTTCATGTCAAATCCCCCCCGAAAAACGGTTATTATGTATAATTTGAATTATAATAAATTAAAACTGAAGCTAAGTAACTAGATAGCATTTTTACTAAAAAGAAAAGAATACCAAATGTTAATACAAATATGAAAGAATGTTTTATTTTTAACACAAAATACTCATGTTTTTATTACCTTCATGAATAATTTTACAACAACCATAATATAGTTTAACATGTCTGCAGTTAAATTTTGCTCAAGTGTATCAATTTGTATTTGAATATCCAAGTAAACACCTTGTTCTGCTGCTAAACCATATGTAAGCATAGGTTCTTTACGTTGACTACGAGCATAACGACCACCTGATGAAACACGTTGAACAATTGAAGCCAATATACGAGGGAAAGGCAATGAGATTGATGTGGGAAAGTTAGCTGGAGGACGCTGAAATATAGAAAAGTTAGTAGATTAAATAGTGATATATATTGAGAAATAAACTATTTCATTATTCAACAGTTGGATGAAGCAATATTATCATAGAGAATCAAATTCAGAAACATACCAATATGATCACAAGTAAGAAAAAGAAAATAGTAGTAGTGTGCGACCATAGGAGAACCGGGAGCAGAGGACAGCTGTTTCGTTCCAGTGAGAAAATGTTCCGAATTTTATATCAACAACTCTACTAAGAGTCATACCAGAAACCTTTAGACCTCGCAAAAAGCGAGTGCCATCTCGACTACTGAAATAGCATTAAGAAGTGCATATCTTCAACATAATTAAGAAATCCTAACAGCCAAACGGAAATAGACAGTTGCGTCTATTCTAATTTAGGATTCTTCAGCAATCCATACTTAAGACTCAGTAAAGAATAGGACTCGAACAACTCTACTTAGCACTAGTTTGTCATTAGTCTAACAACTACTAGATCTTGTTCTGAAAAACAAATAGTGGAAATCACATGCGAAAAATTTACTATAAATCATTCATAACATATAAACAAAAATGAAAAGAATTATTGCCTAAATAAAACTAACCACAGATTTGAGACTAAGTGAATGATCTGTTATACTGATATCCACATAGCTACGAGATCCAACCTGACCAGTAACATACACTGGATCAATCTAAGATGAAAAAAATAGAGAAGAATAATTGATATAAATTATAGACAATGAATGTTTTATTAAATGGTACAAGAAAGAACTGGTAACGATTCTACTGCATCAAGAAATAAATCATGAAATTATGAGTCGTCAACACCTATAGTTAGTAAAAATAACGAGAGTATTAATGTAGTTAAGATAATGAAAAAAGTAACGCACAGTTATATTTGTATACTTAGATAAAAATAAATGATCACAATTATACTTGTGTTTAATAGGTTAAACTACACATCGAATGACTATGTATAGTAAAATAAATTGAACAACTAAGTAAGGAGAGTTGTGCAATAACCACTAAACTTATTTGTTCTGTTATACTAAGCAACGCAGTGGGTTTACAGAGAAAAAAACTATTCAGAAATTTAGTATTGAATATTAACTCATAATATATATGATGCAAAGAGGATTATTTTGAAAATCTTCATTATCGAGTTATGGAGATCGTTAAGTTTCATTGGAATAATGAATCGATCATTGTTAGACTACCACTAGGAACCTGGAAGCACTGCATGGCCGTTTCGTCCCAGTATGGGACTCTTCAGTAGTGTGCATCCACGACCCCCAACTAGCGGGAACCGAAACGAGGACCTTCGGTCTTGTGAGCACGAACGCTTAACCTCTAGACCACTGGTCCGGGCATCCAAGGGTATTAATGACTGAATTGAAATGGACGAGCCAAACACTAAACATGTAATGATAACTCGTTCAGTTATCCATTAAAATTATTGAATAACAAGATATAACTAACTGTAGATCTGTTTCAGTTAGTGCACTACGATAACATCATGAGCTTTCACACTAAAACGTACAATTCAAACCTTTTTGCTGAAATTAATAAACAAATAAATTAGTGAATTTTTTAAACTAACATGATAAACAGCTTTCAGTGTAGAATGTAATGCTACATTGACAGTTAAACCTTGAAATACAGCTAAAAGATTAAATGACAAAGGTGGTGATGGAATTGTTTTACTAGCTGTTGCAGTCATTAAATTTTGTGCAGATTCATTTGGTAATGATTGGTGTGATGGTCGTAAATGATTTGATGGATCACTTGCTGTAGTTGTTGTACTACATGTTGTTGGAGTTGTTGCCATACGAGATCCAGAGGAACGCCTGAAAAAAATACGTATATATAAACAAAATAAAACAATGAATGTTACATCAATAAAATAAAATATCAAACTGTTTAAATCAATAAAAAAAAAATATTTTGACATTGTAATATAAAACTAAGATAATTTTTACCATGAATGAATTTGTGTATAACCAGCATTAGGATTTCGTAAAAGTTCATAAACAGTAGAAGAGATACGTTTAGCTTGACGTTGTACAACACTATGCAGTCGAACAGGATGATGTGGCAAAGTGACCATTATTTTGCCAAGGCTAACAACACAAGCATTTCTTTCCGACTGTAGATTTCGACTACATGATAGCATGATATGTGAACGACCAGCTTGAACACATACAACTTCCCTAGAGAAAATAGAAAAAAGATGAATGGGTGGATTGTTATAAACCAGAAGATAGTTTACTTGAATCGAATGTGTCAAAACAATCTAAGCAGTGAATAAAAAGCAGATCAATGCATCAGATAAGTTGATTTAATACTATGTTGATTGAACAACAATCAATAACCAAATATTATATTTCAGTCAGTTCATGAAAACTTGTTTATATAAGTACCCAATTAGGAATATATATCGAAATCCTATTGGGAATATACGAAAGGAATTTTATGTTAAACAAAATTACATATGATATGACAAAATTATGTGAAATCATTATTGCCTTAGTCAAAAACTATTCTCGTTTTACCCGTCAAAGTTATTTAGTAAGTACATGCTCGTTTACCTGACTTTCAACCACAACATTAATGTGATGACAGTGCTATCAAAACTGAAGTGGTTGAATGACGATTTGAAGCTGAAACTTAGAGGCTGAAAGTTAAAAGATTTCACCACTGAGCTATTGCACTTTTATTTTATTTTATTCCAACAGATTATTATTAGTACATAGGGGAACCTAAGCATTTATGTGCCACACAAATCAATAATTTTTGTGTATACTGGGACACTGACTTGACACCCAAATAGAAGGTAGTCTTTTTACGGGATTACACCTAGAGTGCTTGACCTGCGGGTCTAATCTACAAGGTAGTACAGTAATGTTGGGAGATACAGTTATATGATAGCCGGTGACTAACAGAGAGTTTATACGCCATATGTTCATTTGGAATCTTGAAGCCCATGTGCACTACTGGTTTGAAGTCAGGGCATTTCAATTCCTCTAAGAGGATCATCAGTACCCATTGGGCTAGCTGAAGCCCTGCAGAACATTCACTCTTCGTCCTCTTGATTTCGTAAACAACACTACTGCCACAAGAAGCCAGTCAGCAGGATTTCCCTGATAGTGACTACATACGCGAGAAGTATAGCAGACTAACTCTACTCTTGACCAGACTATGGTTTTTGGGGGCCTCAATATACTTGCAAATCGAACAAATTAGAAATTTAAAATGTTACACAATAATATGTTAAAAAAGCCATAATTAGCACGTACAAAAATCATGTCACAGTTCAAAAATGTCCTGATAATAACTTACTGAATTTTTAATGGTAATTTTTCAGTTAATTGGATATTACTATCACTATAATGCAAATTTGAACTGTGTGTCAAGAATTTCTCTGAGAAACTGCCTAAATTAGATAAAAACGACAAGGTACAAAGAAAACAAATAAAATTTCACGAAAATCTGAATGGTTAATTACTGAAAAATTATTTAATTAGAACATGTAATAATAAAATAAATAATTAGTACGCTGCAATGGTGACTAAAACTGTCTTCGAAAAAAAGAGTTAGTTTCCCTTACAGACATAGGGCTTTTTACGAGAAACGATACCATTTAAACAAGAACGATTAAATGTTTAGTTATATTATGAAAGTTTCATGATTGACCAATCACTAGATAACATCTACAGATCCGAAATAGTATGGTTTGCTGACTTGAATAGAAAACATGTTAAGAATTACTGGAAGAAAATAGGGGGCAATGAAAAGAACCTTTGTAGAAGATCAACTGGTTTCATCATAGTTCGACGTCATTTTCAGTTGCACTAAGAATGCACATATACACACGGTAATAAATATATGAGGAAGAATAACAGAGAGGTTTCAACAAAAATGATTTTTGAACGCAATCCGAGAAAATTATGTGCAGAAGACATATACGTGTTTACAAGTTTAACCACCAAGCACTTGGTGGATGGTGAAAAATTTATAGAGCACTCAAAACCACCAACTAACAATTTTTAAAGATTCAACTTTATTAAATTTTTTTATTTCTAAACATACCCTGTTTAATGAGAAAATTATTATGATAGCGTACCCACTTTGATCATTACTTAATATCCTTTTCCGATAACACAAAGAATTCAAATTGTCGTAATGACCACATTTGTTTTTTTCATATCTAGTAAGTTGAGAATTTTATAGATATATTCTAGCCTGTAAATCATTTTCATCCTCCTATTCTTCTCTAACCTACTAGTGGTTAGGCATTTCTTCTTTCGATAGCTGAAATATCAGACTACTACTACTCTATGATGTGATCGGCTTTCATTCTCTTATAGGCGCGCATATATTTACCAAATAGTTATAAACAAGATTGTACAGTTTAAGTAAAAACGATTTTTTTTATCAATAGGAAAATTCTCTCAACTAAATTCTTTTTATTTTTACTTAATAATATAACAGGTTAGTTTAATTTTCAAAGAACTAAATCCATTGAAAATATTATACAAATTATAAAAAAAAAACTTTATAATGATATCTTCAAAGACTAACCATGACCACGTATTTGTTTAGTAAGTGTAAAAGAACCATGAACATTTCTAACACATGCATTTAAATTCAGTTCACTGAGTACAGCACTAACAGCCATTTGACGTATTTTCGCTGTAACAAATACAACAAGTGGGATACGTTCACCCCAAACCCATGGATAAGTGAATTGTTCCAAACCATGATTGGTATTAGTCATTAATTGTTGATCTTTTTTTGCTGATTTATCCGATGATAAACCAATAAAATGATATTTTGATGAATTATTATTATTATTATTATTATTATTATTCGATGTTTGAGTTTTAAAAAGATTTTGAAATTTATCACTACTACCAACAGCAGAAGGACGAGATAGAAATGCTTGTATACTAGGATTCCATGGATTTGTGAAAGAAGATCGACTATGTCGACTATGAACTTGTTTATTAGATGATTCCATTAATTCATGATCATTGTCTAATTCTTCATTTAGGACACGATATGTTACAGAAGGATAAGATTTTTTACCGAATAAAATTCCCTTGTAGAAAAAAAAAATAATCAAAAGTGAAGGTTGATAAGAAATATATATATAATTGTGTGTCAAAAATGCTTTCATCCTATATGTCATTAACGATTTTTATTCCCATGAATTGGATGGAAATACATCCAAGTGTTGTTTGAAACAATGAAACGTCACAAAACACATCAAATTAATTAACTGTGATATTTTGACAGATAAACTTAGGAGTAATCAACTACTATCAAACGGACGACCACTTTCAACAGCACCATCAAAATTAACTGGGATATGGTCCTCACTACTAAGGGTGTGAAGAAACAGATGAGCATCAATATGGGCAATATCGAATAGGCGAGCATGGAATGGAGGTATAAAAATTACAAAAGTGTGAAATTTGCTTCGCTTTACCTCTAAGATCAATCGAAAAGCGAGCTTTTTACACATCCAATGAGTAGACTATTTTCCACAAATACTATACTTTTTCAAGTTTCATATCAATTTGCCGTTATTTATTATCAAACCAATAATGGAGCCCATAATAATTAGCATGTATAGGCAAAGGAGGCATTTGATTGGAGAAATTCAAATTTGTTAAGTTCTTCTATGAAAATAATGTAAGTTTAAAAATGGATAACATAGTGCTGTTTGTCCGTCCAAAACCGTAAAAAACATTGAAACATAGGCGCCCACTAAGCGATCAATGTAAAGATTAATATACATCTAAATATAAACTAACAAAATCATTACCTTATTTCCTGTGGGTGAATTCAAAAGTAAAGAACTTGGTGGACAAGAATGCGTGGACTGATGATGTTTCACATTACACGATTCTGAAGTACATACAATATTAAGATCACGATCCTCTTCTGTGATAGTAGGCATAGCTGAAGTTGGTCCTGAAGCGGATACATGCTGAAATAAAAGAAAGAGTTAGTTTTCTGGAGAAGTGACTTACACTAAGTCATGAAACGTGAAAAAATTTTGATTTTTCTACTCATCGGGAATATATAATAATAATAATAATAATAATAATAATAATAATAATTATTATTATTATTATTATTATTATTATTATTATTAGAAATATATTATGTATACATTGAAGAGCAGTATTCAATTGGTCGATAAACATTTTCTAGGGAAGTGAGACAATTATAACCATTAAAATATTTGGAAATAACCAACAGAACAGATATTCGTAAATTATAACAAACATATATTCTGTAATTTCGTTATAAATATTTTAATGAACAATTTTCACACACAAAGAATAGATTGAGATTTAGTGACATGATTACTAAACAAATACTGTTAAACGAAACAGTATGCACTGTGCAATAAAAAATTGTTTCTTGGCACTGATGGCAATGGAAAACATTTCGTAACTGTAGAAAATGCAACACTTTTTGGCTTTCTGTGTATAAGTTAAGTAAACGCTGAAGTACTCGTTCTCAGTTGGATAATAAATCAATAAAAAAGAGGTGATGAAATTAAAAATCAATTAATCACTTCATATCATTAATAGACAACATACTTTACGTATTACAGTCTTTGTCTTTGGTACAGTAGAATATAACTCGACATAATTCGCTAATCGCTGCCAACATGAAGGACCAAGACTGTTAGGTGATCTTGGAGCATTATTCATTGATGAGTTTTCAGATTGGGTAATTCGACTTGTAGGAACAGGTGGAAATGATGGTACAGTAGGCATAACATCATGTAAATTAGCTGGATTGGTAATGATCAGCAAATCTTTGTCTGCACTACAATTAGATGTATTCTCACCAGAAGAACGATCATGTTCAGAAGTAAATGAAGCAAATGGTTCTTCATTGTTAGTGAATCCTGAACATAAAATGGTTTACAAAAAAGATGTACACAAAGTGTATTAGTTAGAAGCTAATGAAAAAAATAGTGACTGATAATGTTTAGCTGGATAAAAGTTATACACAAAGTAAATTTTATATTTTCAATAAGTATATGAAAAGGATTTTAAGAGGGATATAAGCCAAGTGTAAGTGTAAGATAAAGTATAGAGAATATACGTCATTGTAGAAAATATGTTTGATTGATTTAAAACCAATTTTAAGAAAAATAATCTATACAAATCACTGTTTTTTTTTGTAAACAACTATGCGTTAACATGAAACAAGTTTTGACATAGATTCTCAAATTTCTAATGAAAAACCGTAACTAACATATATATGAGTGAAACTAAAGCTAGGGACCATTAAATTTCAGTTCATCGGTTTTAAACTACTGAACTTGACATGACAATTCTATCCATTAACGAAAAGTTAGAAGCTTCCCACGTTATAACGGTTTTGCAGTTAATACTAAAAGATGAAATGGGAGGTAGTTTCTAAAATCAACGATCTACACAAATAACATACGTTTTCAGTATATAGTTTTATATTAATTTATGAAATTTATATATTCCCTCAAGATTTCCTTTTTTTAATACAGTGAAATATACATCAAAGTGTCAGAGAAATATATATAATAATCTGGAAAAAGATCGAGTAAAAGATGCTTAAATCGATGTTATGGAGGGTTTTATAAACGACCAACAAGATCAATCAATAAAATGCCATGTGAAAGATGAAACACAACAATATGGTGCTACGAACCAGCTCATATTATTGGCTTAAGCTCCCAATCGATTAAAAACCATAGACAAGAATACTAGCCAGATGAATAGCTCTCTTGTGCAATAAAATTACATGCTTATATTACCGAAGATGAACATAAAATAAGCACAATCAAATATCACAGATGATAGGAGGAAATTAGCTTGTAGGTTTATCATCACTCAATCTAATTAAGACAGGAATGTTAGGTTAAATTTTTTGGGCATTATATCAACTGGATGACTGATAAACACGTGATGAAATCCTGTATTCATAAAAAAAAATATTTCTGTTAGATGTTAAGTTACTCACTTTCGCCTTTATTTTTATTTCTTGACGATTCACTTGGATTATTCGATCCGCCACTATCAACAGAACCACCGAAACGAACATAAGCTGAAGAAAGTGATCGAAATGTTCCATCGGCATCATCTGACGAATCTATAAATATGTAGTAAATGAGTTATTATGATTAAAAGATTTCAAAAAAAAGAATATACAATATCTAGGGAAAATGAAGTATCTATAAGAAAAAGTACAATCCATGATTGCGTATCGAAAGAAAACCCCTGACATAATATTTACGTGAAATAAAACATCCACTGGTTCACTCCCTATCACTAGTTCAAATGCTGATACAAGCCAATGCTGAAGCAACATTTTGCATTTCGACGGAGAGAACTGCAACCCGAACATGCTTGGATTGTTGCTCAAGGTAGTCAGAAGACCCTGCATTTTGTCAGCGTATTCACCAAATAGAATTATGTCATCGGCATATTCCAAGTCAACAAGCGAGTCTCCTGAGAGAAGGTTCACCTCTGAAAAGTGAGACGAAGATAATGTTATATCTAGGAGCATGTCTATGATAAAATTAAACAAGAATGGAGGAAGTGGACAACCTTGATGGATACCACTTGAAGTAATGAATTCCGAAGAAAGTTTGCCGTAAGCTCTCACTCGACCTGTAGTGTTCGAGTACAGAGCTTGTATAAGGTTAATGTACTTCTTTGGTACACCTTTCAATGACAGACACTGCCACGGAACCTCACGATCCACTGAATCAAATGCCACCTTGAGGTCCAGGAAGACGACTATTGTAGGAAATGTAGGACTACATGTGTGTCTGTGTTACAAAACCTGTCGTAGAGTGAAAATGTGGTCTACACATCCACGTCCATGTCTGAAACCAGCCTGGTTTTCTCTTGTCTGCTCTTCATGAGCACTAGTTAGACGTCTAAGTATAATCGAGGCTAACAACTTAGATACTATATTAGTTAGACTTATTCTCCTGTGATTGTCACAAGAAGAATTTTGTCCTTTCTTGTAAACTGGAACAATCAGTGATTGAGACCAGTCGGATGGGACTACGTCCAGTTCCCAGATTCTACCTAAGATCTCAATCAATCTTACTGAGATCATAGATCGTTATTTCATTGTTCGACCTGAAAGTTCCTTGTTTCTTAAGCTTAAATGACGTCAAACAAATTGCATAGTATGGCAGAACTTCAAGAAATACATATTCCCGTCAATATTAACCAAATTAGATAGATACACAATGTTGGCCAGCTGAAACAAGATAACAGCTATAACCCAATGAATAATCGCTGCAAAAGAACAACTACTATATGATGACATAGCGAACAACAAAAATGTAGTACATACAACAGTACCTTTAGAATCATGTTTCTGTGACCATACATATGTTGGTGATATGACAATTTGATTTGCTGACTGATCATCTCGTGATAAATATTTACAAGTATCTCTAGCACAATATACCATGGTAATGAATTGATGAACAAGACGTAATAAGGATAAATTGACATGTTGTCGAATAAAATCAATGTGTAAAATAACATCAATTTTAGTAGTGGTTTGCATTTGACTCAAGCTATCTGCTTTTTGTTTCTAAAATTTTTTTTTAAAAAAAATAAGTGGACAAAAAAATTATTGATTCTAACCTCAAATAATGCAAATATATTTGGAGTGTTTTTTCAACAAAGTTTTATCGACCATCTTTGGGGTTAAATGTTCATTAATATTATTTATTACAAATAGGAAAACATTCTATAAAAAAGTTTTTGAATGAAAAAAATGCCAGCTAGGGTCATTAGAAGTAATTAATCAGTAGTCCTGGATATGTATTTACTATTTGTTAGGAGTCAAGAGTAAGAGGTACAAATTGATTCATTCATTAAGTCGTAAACGTTGCGGTTATCAATAAACACGGTTGTTTAAGAGAACAGTCGTATTCTTCACGAAGCTTTCAGTTACCTCAAATGTACTTTCACCCATTCGGTATAAATATTGTGATAAAATAATCTGAATAAAATTGAAATGTAAAATTGTTTGAAGTTATACTACGATTGATCTAGTTATTTCCTAATAAAAACAGTTAGCACTACAAAGTAGTGCTACTAGGACCGGGATAGTTAAGAAAGTGAAAAATATGAAGATATGAGGTTTACTGCAATAATATTCAAAATAGCATGATTATTGGTCATAAGAAAAACAGTAGTAAATAAATAGTTTATTAGAGATGTAACAACATATGCTAACTTACACGAGATGTACATGAGGCTCCACTATAATCAACAATATCACGTAATATTAAATTCGATCCAAAATTGCAACATAAAAATGCTGATTGCCTTTGAAAAGATGTTTGCTGATTGGCCGAACGATTAACTGGTCTAGAGTTTTGAGGATCATTTATCTGATCGGATACAGAATTCTTTGGTGGAGAATTAAGGATGGGATTACGAGCAGACGAAACAATTTCTATTTGAAAAGTTTTTAGAAGACCGTCTATTGAAAGAAAACCATCGAATTTCTTCATTAAAGTTGTGCGACGAATTCCCTAAACAACAAAAATAATTACAGTAGTATAATTATGAATCAAAAAGTAAAAGATTTCATCAATTGTCTGAAATAACTTTGTCAAACCGGATTGAACCATACGAGTCTCAAGGTGTGTTAAACACACAGATAACAACAACAACAACAACATAAACAGTACGTTTTCGATTAAGTTATCATAAAGTTCATCCTAACTTGAAGATACAAACATATGAAATGCAGTTTTCGAAAATAGAATTTGATACTCAATGTTTCTGAAGAACCGCTTGTAAGTAGCAGAACTACCGAGTAAAACCTGCCAGCGCCAGATATAGAAAATCAAACAAATATGGTAAATTTGTGAATGAGATTGTAGTTGAGAAATGTTTCACTGCCTACTTCAATTCAAAGTGTTGCTAGGGAAAAGAATAGGTTGGACGAAAGCTAAGGTCAGGATAACCAAGATGTGTTATCAGTTCATGAAGCCATTGAGTGTATATCTTAGCAAAGTTAGCAGGGGTAGGTTAGCTGTTTAGGTCCATGAATTACTCGTGATCTAGGGTTTCAGATCTAAACTGACAAATTACATATATTTATCCTCTATTTTGACCTACATCTTACTTTTCAAAATTATTTGAAAGTTTTTATCCCCTAATCTTACTCCTTTGCTTTGAATCACTCCATTCAGAGTTTAACAAGCAATGATCTTAATATTATTTCGTCTTATCTACTATGCACTTCAGTGATTTTATCCTATCGGCTGAAAATAGTGTAGAGATATGGGTCAATGGATAATTGTGACATATCTTACGGTGATTATAACTTAAATCTCAAAGCGAAAATTAGTGTTAGCTGTTAAATGAAAATACCGATAACAAATTAATACCGGGCAACGATTGAGAAAAGTGAAAGAAGATATTTGAAATGGTTAGATAGCTACTTCATCTTTGAGAAATTATGTATAGGTGGTAAATAGGTCAACTGTTGCTAAAAAGTAAGCTTAGGCAAAATTGACTGTTAAAACTGTCATTTACTGTTGTCGAATGGAAATAAAGGTGATAAATTCCATTATTCAAATAGGTTATAGTTATTTGCTGATACCACTCATATATTTACTTCCAAAGATAATATATCAACTGCAGGGATTATTTAGAAGCACTAGTGTACATAAATTACAAATTACAAACCATAACTATTTCAAGAAATGTCAAAATAATATCGCTCTCATAATATGGATGCACGGAGTAAGTAAGTGGGTAAATTATGTTTACTAATTTAGATACACATCAGATGTGAGAAGCCGTGACCAGTGGAGTTCAACTCTGTCGAGTGTAGGCAGTTACCCAGCAAGACTACGCAATACCGTGGATTGGTTAAGGTTAGATATTAACACCGCTGGATTCCGGTTCAGTGGTCTACAGGTGAAGTGTTCACGCGAGAGATTCAGGGCTTTGGGTTCGATTCCCGAGAGCAAGGGGCGTTGAGTGCACACTGTTGATGAGTCCCATAGTACGACGAAACGGCCATCTGGTGCTTCCAAATTTCTAATAGTGGTCTAACAATGATGGATTCGTGATTTCAATCATAACATGTTAACTTAGACGGGATTTCGAACTGCAGTTGAATTATGCTTCAGGAAATGCATATTTATCAGCTGTTAACTAAGGTCTGTAGTTAAATAAACTGTATTTTAGAAAAGTTAGGTTTCATTTAAGCATTCCTATTTTTATTTTATGTGCACAGAAGGTAATAAATAAACAAATTTAGTAATATAGAATGAGATGCGTGGTCAATGAAGCTTATAGAATGATATATAAATATATATATTTACATTGAACTTTTGCAGATAATAAGAGAATGATTATATATACATAATCAATTGATTATCGATTGAAGATTCACTGGGAAACGAATTCAATGAACAACTTACTTTAATACTTAATTCGACTGATTCAAGCAATGGTGAGAATAAACTTTGTATATAAGCCATATAACGATATTGAGCATTCATATGAGCAGCTTGTTCGAAATCAGCTGCTGTAATTTTACAATCTGTAGCACATAAATGATCAAAGTTTGAAGGAATAGAAATATGTTTTTCTTTTGTACTCTTTGTGATTTTCTTGAATGGCGTTTTAAAATTGTCATCATTGGATACGGCTGGTATGAAGTCATCATTTTCAGAAGTTGGTAAATCTATACCACTTACAAATGATAATCTATTTGCAATGGATGTATCCACATTGTGTTGATTCGGATCAGTGATATTTACTGAAGACTGTGAAACTACAGGAGTAGCTTTTAATGTTGAAGGATGTCTACAATAACATTATAAACAAACCAAAAAAAACAATCATTAAAGGAAGTCAACCGGAAATTATGCAAATAATGAAGATGGATAATATGAGATTTAAGGAAGAAAACTTTCAGACTTTACATTCAAGTGCATACATATTACAACAATATTCAATATAACAACATAGAATAAAACAAAGTTGAAGAACTTTCAAATTAAATGTAGCGAAAAGTAAACAAATAAATAATTATAATTTGTTTGGTGACAGATATCCCAATGAATAGAAATTTGTATGCAAGTCACTTATTTAGAGAAAATAACCAAAATAATTTAACATAAATTCAACTAGTGAAAAAAGAAACGAGGCGGAATATGTTTTTTAGTACAATCAAAAGCATGATACGTCTCAACTCGTCAATGTCATGTTATTTTCGGTCAAGGTGATTCTTTATGAGACATCAAAGTGTTATTTGTGCGGATAAAGGGGGTAAGAAAAATATGTAATCGTAATATGAAGTAGCGGAGTTACAAAAATATTAGTGATAATCAAAACTTTTGTGCGTGTGTGCTTAGAAATGTGTAGATAATGAGTCGAATATGGTTGTTTGGATAGTCAGGGCTTTCTTTTCAACTGAAAACAAAGGGATATAATAGTAAATGAAATGCTTCAGCTACTCGCCTCTATAGCACGAAAAATATTTCTGGATAATCTTGATATTTTTTGATATCGATTGGGTGGTCAGTGTAAACAGCATATCCTGGTAGTGCCGATGTGATTTGGAATTTTTCTAGTTTTATGGAATTATTAGGTCTTTTTGTGTAGCTTAAGTGTTTCTTAGCCTGAGTCAAGATTTCCCTAGGCGAATCCTCAATATACAATGCATCACAATCAAAACAGCCTAGATTGTAGACACAATGTTGCGTGGATTTAAACGAGATCTTTTCTTTGGTTCTAACTGAAGCGTTTCAAAGAGTGTTGGTGATTTTATAGAAAATTTTAATGCTAAAAGATTTCAAAATTTATCGTAATTATTCTGTTGCAGCTTGACGATAGCGTAAAACCACAGTACCAATCCAAGGATTTTCATTAGAATTGTTAATTGTGTACGTAAATAGTTTCGTGTCAATCAGTTTTTTAGTGATAATCATAGGAAAATTATTAAGTTGTAATACCAATAATAATATGTATAACTGATAAAGCTTATTGATACACTAAAACACTCACTCCATAATATTTGCTCTAGCATCTTGAAGAAAACGTTTCATAATTGGATTACGAATTAAAGGATCGTTAGTATCATTGATACAATCAGTTACTTGATCAGTTGTATCCCAGTACACTTCATCCGTTTGATCGTACATATCATCATTTATAAGATTTGATTTTTGTACATTGTCACTGATAGATTTATCAATTACATGATGAATGTTATCGTCTGATTGTTTTTATTTTTACAAAACAATGAAAAAAAAACAACACTTTTATATCAGTGAAATATGAAAGAATCTTGTTAGGTCACTAAAGAAAATGTAGGCAATTGCATTTATAATAGTCTTTAGATATGATAATATGTAGCAAAATAAAACGGTGTCATATCACTAGCAAAAATAATAAGTTTCCGATTGTCGAATATAGGTTAAATAAATTTCTTTAATGTACTGAGAAATAGTGGGGTGAAAATATCGAAGTTTAAATATAATTGTCCAGTCGGAGTTCACAAATCAGATGAATAAGTAGAAATAACAGTATTGGATTCGAATGCACGTTAATGTTGGAGATGCCAGAGATGACGCCTGTGAATATAGAGATCAGATTACAGTTGATGAATTGCTTAAACTTCAGTGGTGTACAAATTTCTGATCTGAACCCCGGAGTTAGTGAATTCACTTTATGGATAATTATAAATGAAGATTGCGATAGTAGTATGTCAACAAATCTAGCTATATGCACAGGAACGGAGTTGTGACCAGACTTGCATTTACTTTTATGAAGTCATGCACCATAATGCTTGGATACGTTTAGAAATCGGACCTTTTGTGTGACCAATCATGTATAAAACAATTTTATCATGATTTCATAATCATATACATGTTAGTCAATGGTTATGAGCATTAGTTCTGAGATGACTAAGCTTCAGTTCAGGTCTCTACACTTGACATTAGCACACTCTTACAGAGAAAGAGAGAGGAAATCAACTAGATGAGGAACACATGATGGGGAATAATTATGAAACCCCTGTAAATCTAAACATGTTAAATGCAAATTAGAAGGAATAAATGAAATCGAAAGATGAAAAATTAAAAATAACACTTGGAATTTGAAAAACGGATTCAAATGTGCCATTGTAAAGTTTTCTACAAATACTGACCACAAGTATTGCATGAAATTCACGAAAAAAGTCTATGACTTTCAATATGGTACCTATGAACACCTGATAACCTAACGAATCGATGGTCTTTGTTTTAACTTAGGAAAGGAAATCACTTGGCTACAAATACTTTTGTTCGACCGCTTAATCAAGAGTTAGACAGAAATAACCAAGCATGTTTACAGAAATTCAAATCGGAATGAAGTTAGTCACTTATGTAAGAGTGATAAGGTGTTCGTCACTTGTGATCAGTCAACCACCGCCTACATTATCTGGTTACGTCTAATATATAATTCAGGATTCGCTGAATTGAAATAAATTTAAAGAATGACTTTCTCCTAAGGATATCTCACATTATTAGATAACACATACGACCATTCAAAAGCAGCGTTTAAACTAACTTGAATTAACATGTACAACAGGCTTTAGACCATCTTCAATATTCGTTAACTCTACTCTAGCAAGACGAGGAGATTTCGGAGACAACGAACCAACAACCATTTTCAATAAGCGAGATGTAACCGCAGGACTATGAGGTGAAAGATAATTACCAGTTTTTGGATAAGTTGTTGTAAGTGGTTTTCCAGTTGCAGTTTGCTGAAGAGATGAGTCATTATCTTTGATCTGACAATCATGAGCATTTAATATTGAACCAGGTTTACGGACAATAACATTTGGAAATGCAGGTTCATCAAAATCATTCTGACGAATATTCACTGAATAATTAGTGCATAAAGGAATTGAAGGAGTTGCAAACTCTCGTAAAGCTTTCAAATCTGATACACTGACAGCAAGTGAATCAACTAAGAAACGCCATTCTCTAGTTAATGAAAGAATTCCTCGTCGAAGAAATTCATTTTGAGGGACAACTGAATCTTTAAGTATTTCGGCTAAAAGTTCATCAGCTCTAGTTATACCATAAAACTCATTCATTATTAGTAGATAACGTTTTAGGACAATCAATAACTGACAACTAGGATCAAAGCGTAGTACATGAGCAGATTCTGTACGATGTAAAGCATATCCCTCTAAATCCTAAAGAAAATAAGAAAAAAATGAACACCAGTAATTCAAAAGTCTCATTCTAATCATAATAAGGATAACAATAAAGCATTGAAATTTTAGAGCATAACTTATGAAACTAATTTGAAACCGGCAACTCTAGCTTGAAAAAATCTTCAGACTTAAGTAGATGTCAATTATTCTGTAAATCATAACTTCTACGTAATTTTTAGATTGGGTTGAAATCCCGGAGTGAACATCAACCCTGAGATGCAGGTAAATCCTGCTGCAGATGTCAGTCAGTCAGTCAGATGCAACGTAGAACTTCGTACGTAAGTACATCAGTTCATGTTGCCATACCACATCAGCACAGAGATATAATTGTCAATTCAAATCCAATAGTAGTAGAGGTTGTAAGGGAATTAGAAGTAATTGGAGAGGTTAGGGTTAGAAGATACTATTCAAGAAGTATGATTCAGTGAGAAAAGTTTAGAGAGTCGAAACTAGAAAAGTTGAAGAATCCAGAAGATTAGGATTTGAGAGAACACAAAGAATATATGCACATGCGCCATTGCGAACGATTTTGAGCCATGTCATTCAGGGTCTCTAACCATCGATTATTATCATCTCGCGGACCCCAACCAGGTAGTCGACAATTACCGACATGGCTGCAGATGAGTTCCAAATAAGACGAAACGCACGTCCAAGATTCTACTGCTAACTAAATTTTACCTATTCTATATAAAAATTGTCCCCTAATGGCTAATATCAAGACAATCTGCATAGGATATCCATACTACTTACCAAGAGTGATTAAATTTCAGTCAAAATATCAACAACAGGATAATCCAAATCATTTCACATATAAATTAAAAAAATCTATACTTCTGTAATGTATGAAACTTTAATGTACATGAGTGAATTACTGTACACTAGTTTGTAATTGTTTTGTTGCGCTTTTTTCAGTAAAAATAATCTATCCCACAGAAATCATCAAATTTGAAAGACAACTAATAAATCTTGAACATAACTAATTCAATATTTCAATGATCAGAATAAAGTGAAATAAAAAAAAATAGGAATATTTAAAATAAACAATTACATCATTTGGCATCACTAATTGAACTTTATTTCCAATTGGATGTGAATGACGTTTATTAATATTATCAATATCATCTGTATTATTCTTTGCATTCAGAACATCAGATTTTGGATTGACAACTTCAGTCATTAGACAAGAAATTACAGATAAAAGACGACGTTCTGAATTTACACGAAATTGTTTGCAAACATCAACTAGACGATTGCATGGATCTATCCATGCTCGTATAGTTGGAGCAGCAGTACTGAGTAAATTCCAATCAGATCTACATTAAAAAAGTAAAAATAAATAAACACCGTTTCCATTTGTTGAACTGTACAACAAAATAATGGAAAAACATGGTCAGGGAGAAGGCTATGTTAAAAATAATCTTCGAAAAATCCTTGATTGGATGAAGAATAGTTTTCAAAAATATGAATCATGAAATTGTTAGCAAACTACAATCAGTCGGTAATACACAATGTAGACTAATATACGTGCATTGGTACGGAAAGAACGTTAGTCTATGTACAGAAAAATGAGGGTATTGATAGAGTAATCATGACCTCGAGCTTCAGGAAGTTTTGAGAATTATACAAAGTATGATAATAATATGGCGAAATGTCCAATCAGATTCATGGAACGTAATTTTGCATTTTCTAGATGTTTCTGCGAAGGTTCTATTCAATACTAACTGGATAAATCGTCGTTTGGAGTTTATCAGCCTCTAGAGACTTTTCGGAAGAAAACTTTAGAACTCTGCAACACTCGGGACCTACTAGAAGACAGAAAGTAAATGCACTCGCATCAGTGACATTGATTTTGAACCATGTCACCCAAAGTCTCTAACTATTGGTCATATGATCGCACAAACTAAAATCAGGCAGTTGACTTCCAACAATTCGACTATCAATCACCTAATGGACTGGTGCAATTCTTTAGTTTGATCACCAAAAGCTTTATTCTAACGATTAAACATCAGGCGTCAAGACAGGAGGTAGTTGAACAGCAGCCACGTCATCCTAGTATTCTACAGATCAAACGGATGGTCAGAATAGTGACAACAGTATTTCACAGATATCCCTTGAGAAAAAACATTCACTTTACAATGTGTTATTTCTCATTCTATGAAAACAGTTTGTTTCTGTTCAATAATATTGTAAAAATCTATTAAAAGTCTATCATAGTATATGGTATATGAATAAATAAATGAAATATTTAATATACAAACAATGAGCTTGTAGAATGATGAAAATTTCAATAATTAAACATGTCATCACGTATTTACCTGATAAGTTCTATTCTTCTTTTATTCGGCAAACGCTTCGGTGCAGCGAAATTAAGCCATACTGTATTAACAACTAATTTTGATGATAAACCATTGACATGATTTACATTTTTTTTATCAGTTGAAAAATTATCCGGTTGAACTTGTTGTGATGTATGCTGTCCAGATGGAGCACTCTAAAATTAAAGTATAGAAATTAGTAGATTTTATCTTTCGATTGTTTATTATTAAATAATTGTCACTCTTCAAAAGCTTTTGTCTTTATTTAAAAAAAAACGATAAACATTGAACTATGCGTTGATGTTATGAATCGACAAACATCAGGTATGCTGTTACACTGTGGTGCGCGCTACTTATAAGTAGTATATGACGCGAGTAAAAGCGTAATGTCTAGCAACAGAAGATGGGGGAAGATCAAGAAAAGAAGAGCAGGAACACAATGGAATTTGTATGGAACGCATGAATAGTGAAATGTCAGACAATGGATTGATGTTTTGCAAATTAACGATTTACGATATGGTTTTCCTATTTTACCAATGAACTCTGTAATTTGAGATAAATAAAATTCGGTTGCCCTCACCTATGTTCTCCTTCACTACAACACTAGCTACTTAAAATAGTCAGAGTTTTATGTTAGATTTTACTGTAAAAATAACGATCGACCTTGTCAATAATGATCAGATAAATTAATTCTAGGCCTGTTTTAAAGTTTTTTTTTTCAAAAAGCTTAGTGAATTCCGTAAAGATGAGACAACAGAAAACGAAATAAGTATTTATGGTAATTACAAACTTGAATTTCGTTATTAGTAATAAATGGGTAGAATGATGATTTTATTGTCCACGTTCAGTTAGAGAATTGAAATCGGAACTGAGATGTAGAAAACAAAGTATACAGCAATAATACCTGGACACATTAGACATTCTAAATAGTAGTGTTCAAAAGAATCGAAAGGATAGCCAAGTAAAATGAAAGATTACTATTTCAGTCATTCCCTCACCACCAGAGGATAGCTGATTCGAAATTCATATCAACTACTTCAGCTACAGTTTAAGTAACTTGTCTGTACAAATAATCGGATCATAATTGAAATAAACCATCGGTTACTGGTAAATAAGAAAAAAGTTATTTATTAATGGAAAAAATGGTGAAATATGTTGCATAATTCTCTAGCAGATTTCCAATTACCTCATTAAAGGTATATTTAGGTTGTTGATCAGTAGACGTTGTTCTTGCATTTGGTTCGGCTGATACTGACTCCGAGAATCCACTACAGTGTACCCAGGAAAATGCTAGACTTTGTAGGCCACATTCAAACATAATCCAACCGAAACTTTGCTCTTCAAAATATTTAGATAAACATGGTGTTTCACTAGTAGGACTAAGATTAGAATTACTAGGATCCGAAATAAAACGAAAGAATGCTTTAGAAGATTCGAAAGGTATTGCTGTTAGTAGAACATCTGCACTGAATTGACTGTGACGTGTAAGACGACGTAATTGTCCATGAATCCTTTGTACTGTTATCTGACAGACTAATTCACTGCCTAGATGTTCACTATCCAGTGAATTACTGATAATGTAATTCGAATCGCCTACAGCTGGCTTCACAAAAACTGAACTGGTAACACCTGTAAAATGAAATATACATCAGAACAAAAGAATTCCTTGAAATTTACTGAATATTATCAAAATTAATAATTGAGAAAAAGAAACTACTACTGTTCAGAATATAATGACAATAGATCGTTCAACCTTACTGATCATATTAATTAATGGTGACTAAAATTTCATGAAAGACAGTAAACAACGTATAAATCAATCCCTCAAAAAAATTTACAAACAGATACAAGTAATTTTGTTTTGTATTCGTAAATCTTTTTTCCTGTTATTGATATGCAACACCATAATAATTCAGCCTCTGCTGCCATGTGTGAATTTTGAGATCATTACCTCGATATAGCATTGTTACAAGTTTCAGTAAAACGAACGGCATTAAGTTTGAGTTTTGATGTCAGTATCAACACCGGAACAGAGGTATATTCAGCTCACGAGCCCTTGATAAAACGAAACGTACATCATGAGTTCAATTACTAGTCAACAATCGAATTCGATATATCTGTTACTTAACATTACTAATTTATAAATATATAGCATTGTGTCCAAAGAAGGGACATAATAATACAGATAATATCAGACACGTTACACTGAACCAAACCTTAAGTTGATATTGTAGTCTACAATCGGTCTACTGTGAAATATAAATGCAATACATTTGATGCAGTGAGAGAAATTCTGACTACAGTGTTGTCTGTTAGATGAGGCACCAATGGACAAGTGTTAATGTCTATTTTGTTGGCTGTGTTATGTTGTAAGTAAGTGAACTGTGAAAAGTAGAATTTTATTTTCCTACTATAAAAACAGAATGAATCCTGAGAGGTGCAGGAGTCGTGGATGCGCATTGATGATGAGTCCGATATCAGGACGAAACGGCCGTCCAGTGCTTCCAGGTTTCTTCTAATGGTGGTCTAACAATGATTGATTGATGATTTCAAATGTGTAAAAACACTAATCTCCATAACTCTAATTCAAAAAGATTCTATGTATGCTGTGTGTGTGTGTGTGGTGAAATTTCAGTCACTGTAATAGTGAACAGCCATACAAACAGTGAACGTACAGAACAATTTTTCGAAAACGAAAACATAATACTTACCATCATCTTTTTGAGCGGCTTTTGAACCGGACAACGAAGAAATATATTCCATACTCGGTGATTTAGTATTACTGTAAACTTTAGAACTGTTAATCAGTTGTTTCATAGGTTTATTTCCGTCTATATGGCTTGATTTTTCTTGATAAAAATAATCATTCACTTTAAGAGTATTCAACAGTGGTGCATTGTGATATTTGTTAGATTTTTCCATCATAATCACTGGTTCAGAGGATTGAGTCAATGTATCATAATAATGAAGTGAATTATGTAAAACTGGTGGAGCAGATGGTTGCCTTTTATGTTGTTTTCTAATAGGAAATGAATTATTTAATCCTTCTTGACGATTATTAGTATCATTGTTATGAGATATAAAATTCAATTTATCTGATAGACTAGAAGAAATTTGAAATACATCATGAACACTAGATGAAATATTATCATTTTGTAATTTGATGTTATGCTGTAAATTACTGTTACTTGGTGGTTTTACAATTAAATGATTGGAATCAACTGTTGACGAGGCTACAACAGGTCGATTACTAATATTTGAATCAGGTGTAGATATACTGTTAACTTTATCAGGTATATGAGTATTATTAGATTTATCAGTTAAGGATTCACGTTTATATGATGTCATTAGCTAGTTATTAAAGAAAAATAACAAATAGGGAGAAAGGGTAATAAATTAATTTAGAATAATAAAACTTTATAAGTAATCAGAAAATTCCAAATAATTCTAAGCATTTCAGGTTGTAATGAAATTTGGGAAATTTAACTGTACGATTTGTATATATATATATATATATGATCTGTATGAAATGCGAACCAGAGTTAACAAACAAACGACTAGCCGAAGTTTATGTATACTTATTCAACTCTAACTAGATCAATTCAACTAAAAAATCGATTACTTTCAACCTACACAAACGAAACAACTAGTTTTTGCATAAAATGTAAAAAAAATGTACTTCTTCATGATTTACATCACGATGATTTGATAACAACTGAAGATAGAAAATACTTACACAAATAGTACCACATTTAAAACTTAACTATGGTTTGTTCAAAGTCAAGTGTATATATGCATAATTATGCTTGATGATATTAATTGGCAAGTACAGATTTGTGTGCTAGCAATAGTTCCCACCATTTTCATAAGGGTTAGAGATCAAGATTCAAACTAGCTGTGTCTCCGAAGCATTGCTCGTGTATCATGGGACAACCGTATAAGCAATGCTGGCGTTAGTAAACGAGTTCTTGGTAGGGATGGCAAATCGATAGATGAAGTAGTGAAACTTCATCAGTTGAGGTGGTTAGGACATGTGTTACGTATGTCCAACCACCGACTGCCGCGATGAGCTATGTTTTGCAGTGTAGGAGTAGATTGGAAGAAAGCTTGGGGCAGCCAAACCAAAACATGTCAGAAGTGCATGAAGTCACTGACAAGTGGACTGAGTCATGTTGGTAGATGTAGGTTACCTGGTTGGGGTCTGCGAGACGAAAGTCACCAATGGTTAGAGACCTTGAACGACATGGCTCAGAATCGTTTGCAACAGCGCAGATGCATCCACTCTTTGTGTTCTCTCTAATTCTAACCTTCTGAATTCCTCATAATCTCTACCTTTCTCCTTCTAAATTTATCTTATTGATTTATACTTCTCGAATCATATCTTCGCTCCCTAATCTTCTCCATTACTGCTAATACTTCTACTATCACTATCACTCTTGGATTTGAACTGACAGTTGCGTCTCTGTGCTGATGTGGTATGGCAAGCTGAACTGATGTACTTACGTATGAAGTTCTGCGTTGTATCTGTCTGTCAGTCTGAAATTTGAGAGATTTTCTGACCAAACCATCTCTAGTTACATACACATAACATTTAGAGCAAATTCGAAAATGCTTAAATTCAAAGCTTATCATAAATAAATTTCAATGCATCTATTTCTTAGCGAATGAATAATAAAATGGACAAATTTTGAATATTGATTAATTTTCAAAAAAAAAGATAATTACACTGCCTAACGCAAGAAACACAATTCAAGCGGAAGAATTTCAATGGAAAAATGAAAAAAAAAACAAAAAGGTAGGTTAGTCAGTCAATATGTTAAACAAATAAATTTTTGAAACCATGAACCGATCAATGTTAGACCACCATTAGAAACCTGGAAGCACTGGACGGCCGTTTCGTCCTGGTATGTGTAACTTAACAATCTTCACAACCCCGTAATGCAAATTACCTGTGCTCACTAGTGACTAGCTTCGTGAGGAATCTTCTCCGAGTTCTAGTGAGAAGACGTGACCAGTGAAGTTCAACCTGTTCGGGTGTAGACAGTAACTACCGAAGACTGTGTATGAGGTTGCGCAACTCCGTGAATTTGATCAAGTTAGACATTAACACCGTTAGATACCTGCTCAGTGGTCTATCGGTTAGGGCGTTCGCTCACAATACCGAAGGTCCTGGGTTCGAATCCTGCGGGGTGCAGGAGTCGTGGATGCGCACTGCCACTGATGAGCCCCATACCAGGACGAAACGGCCGTCTTTCGGTGCTTCCAGGTTTCTAATGGTGGTCTAACATTGATCGGTTCATGGTTTTAAAAATGTGTAACTTAACAATCTTCACAACCCCGTAATGCAAACAAATAAATCACTAACAAAATAAGCTATATAAACAAGTAAAATAAAATCAACTTACTTCAAATGAAAATGAATCAATGCAAAATGTCATTAAAGAGACACACGTTAAATCATGTAGACCAGATTTTAAACTATTTAAATGTACTAAATCTTCAACAGCATATAATTGTAAAAATGTAATATTAATTCGTTCCACAGATAATGCAGCTACTTTACTTGATAAAATTGAAATAATTGGCATATTGAATGATAGTTTATTATTATTCAGTGTAGAATTATCATCATGTTTCGAATGGTGATGATTATTATTAGTTGATGATGACAGTTCAGTAACTACACACAATGGTTTCGATGTATTTGATGTGGTCTTTTTAAATTTCACAGTATCTTGACTATTTGACACTGAAAATAAGAATCATAATAATAATAATAACAGTATATAAATCAACATATGATATGTGGTTATTCAAAGTAATAATTTCAATCAATATATCACAAAACACATATTAAATTAGAATGTGCTAACGAATTGAACTTTTCTAAATGCGATTAAGCAGAGTCAGTCAGTCAGTCAGTTGCAACGTTGAACTACGTACGTATGTACATAAGTTCATGTTGCCATACCATATTAGCACAAAGATCCAGATGTCAAATCGAATCCCATAGTGATAAAGATACTAGAGGTATTAATGGTAATGAAGAAGACTAGGATTTGAAGATATTATTCAAGAAGTATAATTAAGTGAAAAAAAGGTTAGAAAGACATAGGTAGAGGTGCTGACGAATCCAGAAGATTAGGATTTGAGAGAGCTCAACGAATGGATGCACTTGCGCCATTGAAAACGATTTTGAGCCGATTAAGCAGAGAATACTGTTCTCTATGGAACTAAAAATCTATTTTATATGAATTGAATAGATAATTTTGTTTAAATAGAATAACACTTAGTTCAAGTCTTCATAAAGAAATATATGAAAATGAATGAAAGACAATTATTTTTATAGTAAGGATATAAAAAAAAGACACAACATTAAGTTATTGATTGTTGATGTTCATCAAAGCCAAATTTGTATAAAGACTTCTTCAGTTTAGCTTTATTCACAATCACCGTGATTACTGATGGATGCATATTGTCTGATAAGGTGTTTCATACACATCACAATCGATTAGATGCCATTCATTTGCTATCTCACTCTAAATCTTGGATTAATTATCATTCTTTGATTTTCCGATTATTTTACGATCTCATAAGTTTCTATAGAACAATAGTTCTAAGGTCTTTAGATTTCTATTCCAGTTAACAATAATTCTTAGTTTAACTTGACTGGAATAACAAAATGATAATTTATTTATGACTGACGACTTTCACATGAATTATTATACTTCTATTGAAACAAACATTCCATATGTGATTAAGTGCTTCATTAAGTGTAGGCATACTTACACTGCTGCCGAAACTTTGCATGATCCCCAACTTACCTATCAAGTTGTTGACATGAGAAAAAATACATCACAATCAGTCAGTTACAACGTATAACTTCGTACCTAGTACATACATCAGTTCAATTCGCCATAACATATTACCAGAGAGACTCCACTGTCATGTCAAATCCCATAATATTAGAGGTAACAGGAGTATTAGCAGTAATCGAAGAGATTAATGTTCGGATATATCATTTGAGATGTATACCGCAGAGGACGGTAACTAGATTATATCATAATCATCAAATGATAATAACAGCAATTAATAATAGCTAAGTAATAATAGAATTACAATAATGCACTCACTTAATTCATAATCTGCAGATATTTTTCGAATTCTGAAAGGTTTAGAAGTAATATTTTGATGAGACACATTATTAGTTGTTGAATCTTGAATGAAACGAGAACCAAGCAAATTGTGTAATATTGACTGACGTTCTTCTACAGGAGCAGAATTAGGTGACAGCTTATCACCGGGTTCAGAACGTGATGAATGAGTATGTTTTATGTTTCGTACAGAATTGCTTTGATTTTTCTGCATTATATTACGAGTGGAGCTGAGTAAAGGTTTGATTTGACGTTCCACTGATTTTACGCATCTATAGTGCATTGAATCCACAATCAATGAAGGTGAAGTAGTATTCACAATTGGTATAAGTGTTTTAATATATCTGAAAGAAATAGGTAATCACTTAATTTTGTACAAGAGAATATATAAGATTGGTACTAAACAAATATAACGTACTACTACATTAAAATATTGACACAATAAATTGTTATATGGTTATACTCAGAACCCCCGGAAATTTTATGATTGAAATAACTAGTTAATTATTCTAGTAAGTTGTACAGCACAATAAGATGAAATATCATAATTTCATTAGTAATTAGTAATCGCAGCAGGGTTCAATCATATGAATGATTAATATTGATAAACCTTACATAAAGTGATCTGATATCCCATATAGTTATTATTACTTAGAACAGAAAGCTCGACAATTGTAAGACAACTAATATCTCGACTGAATTACCATGTGCATAAAAAATGCACCAATCGATGGGTCACCAACACTACATAAAATCAACAACAATATATAGTTGATTAGTTTAAAAAAATGCGGTTGCGTAACACAGTGACATTCTGACCTTTTGAATTCCTCAGCATCTCTATCTTTCTCTTTCTAAATTTACCTCACTGAATTATACTTCTTGAATAACATCTTCGAACCCTAATCTCTCCGATTACTTTTAATACTTTTACTACCTCTACTACTACGGGATTTGAATTGACAATTAACTGACTGAAATGTCAATATGCTTAAGCAACCAATAGTGTGATTGTAAATCTTTTCATTATCAATGCAAACTGTGTCAATTTTTAACTAAAAACACAATTTATCAGTCATATTTTAACATAAACCTCAAAAAAAGAAAACCTAAATGATGAACCAATTGCTGCTAATCAAGTGAATATTTACGGAACACACATAACGATTGTTTTTTTACATAAAATAGAAAAACTGAATAACTTACCTTTCAAGTGATTCAGTTAGAAGTGGAGTGAGAAATAAGTTAATCGGTCCTGCAAGCCAAACAATAGCTTTCGATTTTACAGCAGCACTTTGAGAATCAACATTATCTAAAGAATGTAAACAGAAAATTCAATAAATGCTTAGTGGGTTTCTACACAACACATTCAAATAAAAAGTACGTGTTAAATATCAACAGGTCAGTTATACTATAGTGAAATTTAAAGAGAACCATTCCGTAACTTTATTCTTTCCGTTTATATTCAATACATGATAACTCTTAAAGAGTTTATACAAACATAAATGTATCATGTTGACTTACAATTAGATTCTTTCGAGGCCACCTTTGAGTGATTTGTAGGAGGAATAGTAGATTGTGATGCAGTTGAATCTGGACGGATAGTAATACATTGAGATGAAAACCCAGTATTTCGAATATGAAATCGTGGAGCGATAGCAATTTTAGGTTGACATTGACGAAGAAGATCGAAAACTGTCACATTCTGATGAAGTGAAGAATTTGAGCATGTGTTTTTATCAACTCTTAATAGATTATCTACTGAATGAACATAAGTATCCCCAGGGTATATATGTTTGCAAATATGCCAACGATTTCGTAGACTAGTTGGGCATGTTAAACCAGCTACACATTTAAATGAACTTAAATGTCGACCGTAAGCTGGACGTAGGAGACCACTTTCGCTTATTGGTCTATTCAACTGAGTCCGAAGATCTGAAAATAAGAGAATCACACAAAAACTAATATAACAAGTAATATTATTATTTTATGGAGGATGCCAGCAATCATGTAAATTTGATAGATACAAAAGAGACTAGACATTTATTAGTTTAGTATAAAATGCACTTAACCTAAACAAACCCCATGGATCTAACTACATTTTAGTTGCTGAAAGAAGTAAAGATAGAAATACGGAATGTATGAGTCAGACATTTGTAATCTAAAGGTCACAATCTTCAACATCATACTGAGAATACACGACCATATTTTAAACAAACCGATAAACTTTCTTCTAATTAAGCAGTGATTCCATAGAATTCTTGGAATCCTTTAAATAATGTCTATTCCAGAATGTTTGTATTCAGTCAGAAAAACAAGTTCAATTTCTTTTGAAGATATACAGCACTTTACAAAAATATCAGGCTATTAAAACACAATCACCAAAACCAAATGATCGGTTCAAATAACCAGTCCACAAATAATCAATGTTTCTGTGATTTTTCAGTTAGAGCTTTGGAGATTTGTGTTTTTTTTTTACACATTTGAAATCATTAGTCAATCATTCTTAGATCACCATTAGAAACTTGGAAGCACTGGACGGCCGTTTCGCCCTAGTATGGGACTCATCAGTGGCAGTGCACATCCACGACTCCTGTACCTCACTGGATTCGAAACCGGGACCTTCGGTATTGTGCGCGAACACCTAACCATCAGACCACTGGGCCGGCATCCAACGGTGTTAATGTCTAACTCTGAATGACATACGGATTTCCTGTGATTGAAAAGTAGATAACATGAAGAACTATGAAGAAAAACATTTTTCTCACTAAACTTGATGAAATCAATGTAGAGCATAAATGTTAATAATAATAATAATAATAAATTGTACTAACCAACAAAATTTTCAAAAGCACTATCAAATTCTTCTTTTTTATTTTCATCGAAATTCTTAGATTCTTGTCTAGTTGCATTTTTCTCATGCATAGAAATATCAATGTTATGTGATTCTTTGCACTCTTTTCCTTTCATATAATGTTGTTGTTGTTGTTGTTGTTGATTTGTAATAAATTTTCTTGGAGGTGGTGTTGGCGGTGATTTACAATGTGAAGATGATGATGATGATAATAATGAACCGATATGAGTAGTTTCCATCAATGTTTTATCATTGTTCACACTATCATCATTCATAGGATGAATTAAACTACCATGTGATAAACTATTCGATGATGTACTTGAATGTGTTGATAATTCAATTAAACTATTCAATGATAAATTTGATGGTAAATAACTGGATTTTTTTATTTCATTTCGTTTCTTGACAGTTGAATGCAATGATGATTGTTTATCTGAATTTTGGTTTGTTTGTTTTTTGTTTTTTTTTGAAAAAAAGAGGATGAAACAAATGATGAATATGAGAAGAAAACAAAATGATGAAAAATTAATAAACAGTAATGAAAAAGATAAGTTGATTATTTGATCATATTTGTTATGTGGAATCGGTACGAGAACGATCTTGTTTTATAATTAGTATCGGAGTTGGTAAATATTGCTGGATTTGGTGCTTGTCATTCCTAAAAACATTGGATATCAACTCAGTAATCAAAAAGTGTTCACTAAGAGATTTTACAACCCTAGGTTGAATTAACAGCAAGGTCGTGAATGAGCCTTTTTGACGAAGGACAAAACAAATTATCCAATCCTTCATAGTTTTTATCGATTCGCTAACCAGAGCTAATATAAGTGGTGTACAGTAAGTAAAAAAAAAACATGATTATATTTTTGAGTTCATTTTATCCTAAATGTTGTCTAATCAGGTAAATAACCAATTTCATTAAAATCCTAATAACTTAAGTTTCTTTACTTTGTGTGACAAGATTGATTACACATAAACACGGATCAATTTCTCCAACAGCATTGTACTATTTGTCTTCTTTGTACTTTTAAGCTGTTTCTAACTTTAACATTAACTTCATTTAAGTAAAGTTTGTTAAGCTATAAAGTTCAAACGTAGTTTCTTGAAAGCATTTATCAATAAAAACAAATCAATATGTTGCTGTAAATTAAGTGTGAATACATTTCTATTTAAGAATTGATAACAATGACTACATGGTGTAGATGTAAATAAGAAGGAATCTATGGGTGGCTAAATCAAAAGATGTCATTAGTTATTAAGATGAAATGATTATATTTTTAACCATGTTGGTAAAGGCAGTTGAGGTTTGTTGTGTGATCAATAGTTGAAAACATTGAGTGATACAGATGTACATTTTTGTTATTTTTCCCCCGATCCTGAACTACAGCATACCCTCATACATATATTTTCATTTATTTTCCTTGAACCAAACTGTCAATGTCGAATAATTCAGATTGTTGCTAAATTATTTGGATCTCTTCTGATATTCATTTTGTTAAGTTTATCTGGTCGGGATATGATGATTATTCAGATGCTAGGTTCTATGCTTACTACTACTGATAGATGACTGTCATTGTTATCTATACGAGCAATTGTTATTTATACGAACAATGCTTCGAAGTATTGCTCGTATATCCTGGGACAACCGAGTGAGCAAAGCTGTTATTAGGAATCGGGTGCTAGGTAAGAATGGCAGATCAATAGACGCAGTAGTGACACTTCATCAGTTGAGGTGGTTGGGACATGTCTTGCGTATGCCCAACCAGCGACTGCCTCGACGAGCTTTGTTTTGTAGTGTAGCAATAGGTTGGAACAAAGCTAGGGGCGGCCAAACCAAAACATGGCAGAAATCCATGAAGTCATTGACGAGTGGACTGAGCCATGTCGGTAATTGTCGACTACCTGGTTGGGGTCCGCGAGATGATAATAATCGATGGTTAGAGACATTGAATGACATGGCTCAAAATCGTTCGCAATGGCGCCGGTGCATTTATGCTTTGTGTTCTCTCAAATCCTAATCTTCTGGATTCTCCAACAACTCTAGTTTTGACTTTCTAAACTTTTATCATTGAATCATACTTCTTGAATAATATCTTCTAATCCTAACCTCTCCGATTACTCCTAATACCTTTTCCATCTCTACTACTATTGGATTTGAATTGACAATTACATCGCTGTGCTGATGTGGTATGGCGACATGAACTGATGTACTTACGTACGAAGTTCTACGTTGCATCTGACTGACTGTTATGTATATACGAGTGTGATGTCAAGTCATTGACATGAATTTAACATCATCATTCTATGAAGCAATCAACCTACAGAATAATCAGCTGTGGAAATCAATTCAATATTTAAAAAAAAAGATATAATATCATTAGACAAAATAAGTGATTACTTTCAGGTAATTTCTTATCTTCATTTGTGCCTTCTTTGATATTACTATCATTAACTGTACTCACTAAAACATCCGATAATGATGAATGTTTAGTTTGTTCAGATGAATTCAATTCCAACCATGAATGTTTAGGTTTCTTTTTTCTATTGATAAAATGTTGTTTCATTTCATGCATGGCGGAATTATCACAAGTGAATAGAAAATCATTGGAATTTTTCACATACAATAAATCCATATCAGAATCATGATCGATAAGTTGTTGTAAATTACTTCTACTACTGCTACTACTACTGCTACTACCATTGTCATCATTAAATGTTGCATACGTTTCATAACTATCTGAACTTCCAGTTGAATCTGTATCCGATGGATAGTGTTGTTCTTCACAAAAATGCAATAAATACCAATCCATCTGAATAGGAAAAAAAAATTTGCTTTCGAAAATGAAAAATAATAGACACTATGTGATAATAATAATAATAATAATAATTTAAAACAATTAGTCACTTTTATAAATTTTGATAGAACATTGTATTACGGGGTTGTGAAGATTGTTCAGTTTTTTTGAAATCATGAATCGATCAATGTTAGACCACCATTAGAAACCTGGAAGCACTGGACGGCCGTTTCGTCCTGGTATGGGACTCATCAGCAGTGCGCATCCACGACTCCTGCACCTCGCAGGATTCGAACCCGAGACCTTCGGTATTGTGCGCGAACGCCTAACCATCGGACCACTGAGCCGGTACCTAACTTAACAATCTTCACAACTCCGTAATGCAAATTACCTGTGCTCACTGGTGACTAGCTTCGTGAGGGATCTCCGAGTTCTAGTGGGAAGACGTGACCAGTGAAGTTCAACCCGTTCGGGTGTAGACAGTAACTACCGAAGATTGTGTGAGGTTGCGCAACTCCGTGAATTAACCAAGTTAGACATTAACACCGTTAGATGACGGCTCAGTGGTCCGATGGTTAATGGTGGTCTAAGATTGATCGATTCATGGTTTCAAAAAAACAAAAAGAACATTGTGTAGGAATGTTGGAGGACGAATTTTGAGGTTTATGGAGGCCTTGGCTATTCGCAAGTTAACCCCCCCCTTATGTGTACAGAAACCTTAACCTTGAATTTACACTAGTCATCTTTAGGCCTAGGGTAATGTGACTATTTCCTACCCTTTCTTATCCTTTTCACATTACATTAATTTTCTCTCACCCTTATTTACAATTATCACTTCATGTCTATTTGAACTTTTATTTAATTGACCTTTTATTAATCTTCATATAAAATGCCTTGACAAGTAAATATGTGTGACCCGATTGTTCGAAATGTATAGCGCAAATACATCACATTTTTCAGATCAATTACGTCTTCTCACTGTTCTATCAAAATAATAATAATAATGATAATAATAACCACAACAATCTCATCAATAATCAACAAATTAGAAGCCTTCTTAAGTTAGTTTGTAATTTTCTAATTAAAATTAAAATATTTTCAATGTTTAGTTTATTTTTTTTTCTTCGACTATTTGATATTCTGTTTAATTAGTATAATCAACTCTTTTAATTCTCACTATAATTTGATTTACTTATGGTTAATATTTGGACATGAAATGTAAAGAATTAAGGGAGATATTATAAAAAATTTTTTTTATCGATTTCTAACTTGTTTCATGACTAATTGAAGATCAACAATCATCGCTAAGTGAATTAAATTCAAAGTTAACAATGAATGAAGACTAGACCAAAATGCCAAAAATGTCGATATAAGGGATAATTAATTCATTTCTTTAGAAATCCTATCAAGTAATGATATAAATTATGACGTGTTTGATGTAAACAGAAGACAAGCAGAAGGCAATTATTATGAATAAAATCCAATAAATAGTGATTATATCACTGTCATTAGCCACAAGAATCACAATAACAAAGTCTACAGTTGCACAATAAAATGAAAAAGTGATTTGTAACATAAGTACATGCGAAGAAAACATTTAGACTAACTTAATCGACTTGTGGACAGAAAGTAATTCTATTGTGAAATTGAAAATATCGTAAACAGCAATTTATAAATTATCAGAATGTGACTGACACAGAATGAAGAAAATACATCTTTGTGAGATCATATTGAAACGAGAGTGAAGACATATAATACAGCGACACGAAAGGCTATTCTGATTCGATTGTCCTCGGCCCAGCTAACTATATCAAAAGTCTTGATATGACGTGGAAAGTGTATTCTACAAGCACCCAGAAAATACGAGATCGAGAAGCACACCAATCGAGTTTATTTATACATGATAGAAACGTCCTTGGGAGAGCCACGAAATAGCGTACTAAAATAATCCGTCAATCAATGACAGTCAAGGATTTTGAGAGTGGGAAATGTAAGCTGAGTGTCAACTAAGCAACTTATGCGCGAAAGCATAGAAAGTTCCAAAATTAGGACCTTTTTCAAGTGAGTTCTGACATCCCCAACAAAAGTAAACGACTAAATTAATCACATCTTCATGACACTTATTTTAGACTATGAAACATCGATCATACTAATAAAAGAAACTTACACCTTTTTGAATACTGGTTTCAAGAAGAGCTGAAATAATTTCCTCACGCATAAGCAGTAGACCATTATATTTCTCTTGGCAATCATCAGGAGAATGTAATTCATGTAACAAACAATTCGGAAGTAAAAGACTCTCACCAAAACCCAAGCTTTTTGCCCTCCAGTCAAAACCCTTGCCTGTAGGTATTTGTCTATAGTTTTCGGGTGATAGAAAATTCGAGGAACAAAGAAAAATTAAAAGATTAATATTTACATAATTTACTTTTGTTCTAAAGTATTCTAGGTGCTCAGACGTTAAATATGAGTTTCATGATCAACTGGTCGATCGTTCATTTCTTATATAGAAAAACAAGTAACAACTAACCTAGAGCATAGTGATCAATAAAACATTTAATGACAGCCAGTACAATTTATATAAAGACTGAACTGATCATATATCGTGATATCGAATACTTATTTCATATTATTAATTGACATGATTTCTAAAACAAGTGTTTCCCTAAGAACATACTATGAACTTTGTTTATGTACAAAAACTTTTTGTTTGGACTTTGAAGGCAGCAAATGAATCTAGGCAGTTCATTTGGGCTTTTAGTTTGAATTTACCATTAACGTTTAAGACAGAAAATTGGTCGATTTCGTTTGGCATTTGCACATCTTGTGAGGATTGTTTAAGCTACATGCATTTTAAACAAAGTTGCATGGTGGCTAACAGTGGAATCCAAGACCCATGCCCTATTCTATGTGGGACTCGTCAGCTGGTTTTTTATAAAAAGATTTCACACAGCAGTCCATTAATCAGTCTCGGATTATTTCACATCTACACGGATCTAAAATAAAACGTTGCTTACTGAAATAAAACTATTTTAGACATTCATAAATTAATTAGGCAATGAATAGTAAACATCAACTTACTGATTAACAAGAAATAAATTGGAAGTAGAAACTGGTTGATTTTCACTGTTAGTTTTATTATTATTAATATTACTACTCTTATTATTATCCGATGATACAAATAAATCAGGTTTATAATCAGCTCTAGATGGAAATATAGCACGTTGTCGTAAATTACCAGTCGATAATTCATAAAATAAAATTTGTCCACTTTCATTTTGTCCAAAAAATGAACATTGACCATAACATCCACAATTTGGCATTATATCAGGAGCAATATAACCAGGTATCGATTTCTTAGTCATAAATTTATTTTCTCTCGTAGAAAATACATTGAATGATTTTGTAGTATGACGTGAACTTAAACTAGAATTACGAAATGTCTCACTAATTGAATCATTATTATCTGACCAAAGAAATGATAAACGTTTAGTTGTAAAATCATGACGTTTAAGAAAATCTAATTGCCAACTGAGATGATTAGGTTTTTCTGGTGCTCTAGAAAGATTAATATGAACTGGACCAAGAGAGAATGAACCAGCTTCAAACCATAAAACTGAATCATCCAATTGTTTGGCACTTTTAACTTGACTGTCTAAATTAGATTGATCTTTGACTTCAGGAGCTAAAGAAGAAAATAAATGAGGAAATTATGTGTATTCATTCAATGAACACAAAAGGAATAGTATAGAATGCTACCACCAACTAGTGCAAGGATTCATAAGTGTTTTATTTTGTACATAAAACATTATATAATTGTACATTCGTTTTAGTTTTGCTACATATCTATAATAGGTGAAAGGTGGATGAATAGACTTCAAATAAACATTAAAAACATCAAAACCATCACGTAATAAGCAAATATGTAAAAATAAAATAAAATAAGATAAAAAATATAATGTCAATCGTTAGTTACGTTATATTCGGCCACGGAAGAGATAGGGGTGTCACGAATTTCTTCTGAACACATAAATTGGGGTTGCATGTACGAATTCCTATGGCTTCTGCCATGTGTAGGAGACGGGATCGAACTCCGTTGGGAAATGATGGAGGTATACGATAGATCACCCGAAAAGATCTACACTTATCTACAATATGACCACTATCAACCAGGTGTGCTAAGATAGAACTGCGTTTCATTTTTGTTTGACCCTTCTTAAACCATGCTGGGAGATGTTCACTCATTCGTTGGTTAAGTTGCCTGGTAGTACGCCCGATATATCTATCTCCACAGGAGCAGCTGAATTTGTAAATGTACACAGAGGAGGCCAACTCAGGTAACTTATCCTTCGTTTGGGTAGACATCACTGGTGGACTTGAGAGGGTCAACGCAAGTTTGGCTGGATTGAATGTTCTATTAATTGCTCTCAATAATCTGTCCTGCAGAGTATCGCAGGCCACATCTCCGTCGAATTGTAATTTGATAAATAGTGGCTTCTTCCGGACGGTCGAAATTGCTGACTTCTTTTTTACACCAACCATATACTTCCTTATATGGCTTGCCCGAAGATTGCCTTAAAGAATTGCTCCTAAGATGTACGATGAACGTCCATTTTGTATTCAACAACACTTACTATAGACAAATAGACGGTATAGCCATGGGTTCACCTCTAGGCCCAAATCTAGCGGATCTCTTCCTAGCAAAGCTAGAAAATGGACCACTTAAAGAAGCTATTCATAATCTTGATCTATATTGTCGGTACGTCAATGACACATTCATCATTGCAGACCAAGACATCAGCAAAGAAAAACTCCTGGAACAATTCAACAGTCTACACCCGGCAATTACTTTCACTGGTGAAGAGGAGTACGATAAAAAGCTGACCTTCCTCCTACATATAGCAGAAGCCATAGGAATTCGTACATTCAACCCCAATTTATGTATTCAGAAGAAATTCGTGACAACCCTATCTCTTCCGTGGCCGAATATGACGTAACTAACGATTGACATTATATTTTTTATCTTATTTTATTTTATTTTTACATATTTGCTTATTACGTGATGGTTTTGATGTTTTTAATGTTTATTTGAAAACATATCTATAAAACTAACAACAATAATTCTAGCTATTTTTGATTCTTATTATCATTACTACTATTATTAGTAGCAGTAGTAGTGTTAGTAGTAAAAGTATCGTTATTGTTGGACCACCCGAAAAACAAGATTTCTTAAAGTGATACATACAATATTCAGTAGAATAAGTGAGCCAATGATGCTGAAGATGTTCCACAAACCATGTATGTATCAAGCTCGTTACGTCATAATAAACCCATTGATGAATGAGATCGTTGTAAATTTTTTTACAAAAGACACTTAATACCATATGAATCAAGTGTTTATATATTTAACATACAAGATATCAATGCTATGAACTGAAAATTATAACAGTAATTGTTATGAAGAACTAAGAAATATAAACTAAGTCAAATATACCCAATGATGACACATGTTGATTACAAAAGATTATAAACTGGTTTTTAGTTAGTTACAATTGATTGACTCACTTACCTATAGGTGCAATTAATTGTATTAATCTAATATCAGGAATCAATGCAAACATTCCATCACAATGAGTAGCACCATGTATATTACAATGAGCCATACGAATTGGATCACATTGAATACTTAAACAATTTCGATTTTCTACTATACTTAAATCAATACCATCTATAGTAAGACGTAACATACGATATTTCAATTGCATATCAGTAGGGCATAATGTGTCCGAGCAAATTTTATACCAAAATGGACATAGTTGCTAAAATTAAAATAGTGTAAAAATTCAAAGAAAAACAATACAAAAAGTGTTAGCACATATATCTGTTACATCAAAAGAAGTAATAGCAGTAATCGGAGAGATTAGGGTTCGAAGATAATATTCAAGGAGCACATACCAGTGAAATAGATTTGCGATGAGAAGGATGAAGGTCATGAGGAGTTTGGTTAGAATATGGAAGAACACAAAGAGAGGATGTACCTGAGCCATTGCAAGCGATTTAGCCCTCGACACCTAACCAGGTAGTCTGCATCCACAAACATGACTCAGTCCACTTGTCAGTGATTTCATGGATTTATACCATGTTTCAGTTTGACTGCCGCTAGCTTTCTTCCAGCCTACCCCTACATCAGGCACCATCGCTCTTCGAAACAGTCGGTGGTTGGGCATTCGTAACACATGTCCCGACCACAGCAACTAATGAAGTTTCACTACTTCATCTATTGATCTGCCATCCTTACCTAGTACTCGATTTCTAACAACAGCATTGCTTACCCGATGATTCAAGGATAAACGAGCAATGCTTCGATGACACCTATGATCGAATACTTGTAACCTACGGATATCCTCTACTATTAACTGGCCATGTCTCAAACCTATAAAGTAGGACAGAGAGAACCGCTGAACAGTAAACCCGTCCTTCGGTTACGAGACGGATATCTCGCCTGCACCAAAAGTGACGCAAGTTTCCAAAAGCCGATGGAACCTTCTGTGCCCGTGCTGAGGTTTCGTCAAACACCACGCCATCAGCACTGATGAGACTCCCTATCATTAGTTTAGGTAACGATGCAATCCAATCCTGGAGTAACAATTTGCATTTTGGCGAGCAGAACCGCATCCCGAACATGCTTGCATTGTTGCTCAGGGTAGTCAGAAGACTCTGCACTTTGTCAGAGTCTTCACCAAGTAGAACTATGTCATCGGCCTACTCTAAGTCAACCAATAAATCTCCTGGTGGAAGGTCTATCCCTGAAAAATCATACGATGAATGTGTTACTTCCAAAAGCATGTCTATCACAAAGTTGAATAAGAATGGAGAGAGTTGACAACCTTGACAAACACCACTTGTTATGATCAGTTCCATTTACAGTTCGCTACAAGCTCTCACTCGACCAAAGATGTTCGAGTAGAGAGCCTGTATAAGGTGAATGTACTTCCCTGGTACTCCTTTAAGCGACAGACATTGCCACAGAACCTCAAGATCCACAGAGTCAAATTCCACCTTAAGGTCCAGGAAGACAGCTAATGTGGGGCGTCTGAACGTGTGCCTATGTTCTAGGACATGACGAAATGTGAAAATGTGGTCTATACAGCCACGTCCAGGTTGGAAACCAGCCTGGTTTTCTCTGGTCTGCTCTTTACGAACCGTAGTTAGGCATCGGAGAATTACTGAAGCCAATATTTTAGACACTGTATTAGTTAAACTGATTCCTCTGTGATTGTCACTGTTACATACTTGAAAGAAACTATTTTACAAAGCTAACAAAAATATATTCATAAATAATGAAAAGTTTAAAAAAGATAATTTTCTGTACCTGTGGACGACCATGTTGACAAAGTTCAAATGCTTTTGAAGAGATTAATTGATTTTCTGAATCAACTGCAGAAAAAATGAATTCTTTCAAACATTGTATTAAACATGATAGTTTAGGAGCAGATAATTGGCCAGTAAGTTGACCAACTGTAAGCTCTAATAACCAAGCATATTCTAATGATTCAGCACGAATAGGTAAATTAACATGACTAAACATGCCTTGACCACGTAATTGTAAACCAACAAGTTGTATACGACTTGAAGATACATTTGAGTTTGATTTCGAACGAAAGTCCTAGGAAGTAATTTTTTGAAAAAAAGAAAACATTTTTCAATATTTTAAAAATTATAAAATATTGTTAAATAAGTTTGAATACCTTTTTCTTGAACGATGAATGGTCTGATGAAAAAATATAACAGTACAGAAACTTCATTGATATAAAAGAAATGACCAAATAAGATTAAAAGCAAACAACTTTATCATTCGTAATAAATGACAGCTCCTAGATCATTAAAACATTCGAGATTGTAGGGAGGGACATGATCTAGTAGAATTTAAAGCATCCAACTTAAAATCATAGGTAACCAACCACGTTCGAGACATGGTTCGTTTGACCGGCCACGTAGTGAAAATGTAAAATTCAGACAAAAAGCAATGTTTACTTTCAATTTACCTTATTTTGATCGTAGAAGCAGATTAAAATTGGTGAAAAAGCTAATTGAAGCTTTGTTTCATGCCATTGTTTGTCCATTTCAAATCCAATACAATCTAGAAAAGCTATTGGGCAAGGTGATTCGTTAGATGAACCATGCTGAAAAAAAAATATTGTTAAAAAGATAAAATACAAGAATTATGTTAGTTTACATTATGTCAATAAGCAAAAAACTTAAAATTAAACATGCAAGTCACAATGAAGACTGTAGAAAGAAATTCTAGTCTATCTAATGTATTCTGTAGAGATAATGAAAATTATGTTCTTTATTTCTATTAAACATCATATAACATAACTTTTGCTATAAAATTATTTCTCTTAAACGTTAACTTGATGACAAAAATGAGTAAGATAAAAGGTTGAATAGTCAGTCGTCTAGTAAGAATATTGAACAAATAGTACAAATACACACTTACCATGGGTAGATGCGCTTGAATATTATGAAATTCTAATGATACACGTACAGATAGTGGGCGAAATTCTCTAGCATCAATGAATCGTTTCTCTGGAAGTTTATCAACCTTACTAAAGTCATTATCATTAACCGCGGCATTATGTTTAGTATGCGATTTTAATCGAATTAAATCATCATCAGTGAAAGAGGAACTTTCATCTGGTCGAAGAGGTTCACGATCGAAACTTACAGGTACCTGATTAACTCCAAAATAATTTTCCTAAATATCAAGAATGTTTGAAAACAAAACAAAAAAGGAGTAAAAGAAAAAAGTGTAATTATCTAACAATATCAGACAGAGGCAAATAAATACATTTCTATACAAATAAGTTAAATAACTATTGAATTTGTTCAAATAACACATTAATCCCCACCCCTAAACATAATGATATACCAGTTTCACTGAATAATATTATTCAGAGTTTAAAGAAAAAACAACTGAACACAAAATGAATATAAGCATTTGAAATAGTTATATAATATACACTAACCTTGACATGAATAAAATGTCGCAGTACTGTACCATAGAATAATAACTGTGCAGAAGGAATATGCAAATGTACATCAACTGTATCTGGTTCAAAACATGTAAAGATATCACATTTACTCTTCAGTATATCATTTTCAGTAGGCCCTTGTGTATAACTGCCTTCTGGCCGAAGTTTACTAAGCGCTAACTCTTCTAAATCTGACTACAAAAATCAATGAATCAATACAAGATATATATATAATAATTATGAAACCAAGTATTTTGTGAAATAATTTTCGTTATAAATCATTAAAAAACAGACAGAAACATTAATCATTGTTAGACCACCAATAAAAACCTGGTAGCACTGGACGGCCGTTTCGTCCTGGTATGGGACTCATCAACAGTGCGCATCCACGACTCCTGCATCTCACAGGATTCGAAACCGGGAACTTCGGTAATGTGTGCGAACGCGATTGATGATTTCATATGTGTAAAAACACTAATCTCCATAACTCTAATTGAAAAAAAAGAAACATTAAGATGGAGGCATTCTGGACGACTTTTGCAAGTGAAAATCAAAACCAGGACCTTTGGTCTCCAGTACTTTTCAGTTTTTGATGGTGGTTTAGCGAAGATCAATTTGTGATTGAAACCGGGAAAGAATAGTAACATCAACAGTTTGATAAGTAACACTGAAGTGATGAATTTTCTTTTTTGAATAACAGTAGAGCTCCACAACCAAAACAACCAGCTCAGAGAACAAAACACCACCACAAGAATAACAGTAGAGTATCATTTTAAATGCAAACATTATATTAACTAAATAACACGTTGTGAATTAATTATAGTGCGCCTGCACACAAATAGATCTGTTGACTGTGCACGTGTGCTAATTACGAATAGAAAAACTCTACATACAAATGCATAATTGTTTTACTTGGGAATAGAGTACTGGAAAATGAGTGTTATATAACTGTCTGAGTGAATATCTCCCAGATTAATTTAGAAAAAAGCCACACAAAGACAATAAGCAGCATTAACTTGTTACTGGATTAGTAGAATTTAACCAAAGAAAGAAATATAATGATGTAAGAAAATAAGAGAGCTGTAAATCATAAAATAAAACACTTCTAGAATACAATTAGTATAGGAATCCAACCAAAATCAATTCCCTTGCTCATAAAAGTACATTTTTCTTTTGATTCCAAAAACAAGAGCAAGTTCTATTAGGATTGATATCGCGACCTATTCTATATTTCAATGAAATATCAACTCTGAGTTACATAGTCTCCAGGACCCCGACTAGGGGGTTCTATAGTAAATAACAAACGATTGACTAATATTCCATAATATCATATCATATACTGACTATGTTTTAACTGCGCAGGACGAGTGTACTGCGCAGTAGTTCGCTCCGTCTTACTTTATGGCTGTGAAACATGGCCAGTGAGAGTAGAAGATATTCGTCGGTTATTGGTTTTCGATCATAGGTGTCTTCGAAGCATTGCTCGTATATCGTGGGACAACCGAGTGAGCAACGCTGTTATTAGGAAACGGGTGCTAGGTAAGAATGGCAGATCAATAGATGAAGTAATGAAACTTCATCAGTTGAGGTGGTTGGGACATGTGTTGCGTATGCCTAACCACCGAATGCCTCGACGAGCTTTATTTTGTAGTGTAGGAATAGGTTGGAAGAAAGTTAGGGGCGGCCAAACCAAAACATGGCAGAAATCCATGAAGTTATTGACGAGTGGACTGAGCCATGTCGGTAATTGTCGACTACCTGGTTGGGGTCCGCGAGATGATAATAATCGATGGTTAGATACCCTGAATGACATGGCTCAAAATCGTTTGCAATGGCGCCGGTGCATTTATTCTTTGTGTTCTCTCAAATCCTAATCTTCTGGATTCTCCAACAACTCTAGTTTTGACTTTCTAAATTTTTCTCACTGAATCATATTTCGTGATTATCTTCTCATCCTAACCTCTCCGATTGCTTCTAATACCTGTACTACCTCTTCTACTATTGGATTTGAACTGACAGTTACGTCTCTGTGCTGATGTGGTATGGCAATATGAACTGATGTACTTACGTACGAAGTTCTGCGTTGTATCTGTTTGTCTGTCTTTCTCAATTAAGTTTTAGTAAGATCAAGCATTATTCAAAGCAAAAGATGCACGGATACCATAAATAAATGTTCCAAAGTCAGTGACCCGCCAATTTCAGTATGTTAAAATTTGTAAAACAGTTGTATCCATCATTGTTCTTCACCAGAACATTAAGTCACTATTTATCGTGAAAAAAATTTATATATATACATAGTGAAACCTCTGGTTATTTCCATATTCCCTTTCAATGATATAAAAGGCAAAAAAATTTACGGTTAAGATTAATAAAGCTGTCAATAACTATTTGATGTCAGTAATTTTATTGCAAAGATACAATTTAATAAAGATAAACTTAAGCGAAAAAAAATTAATTATAATACAGTATTTAATAAAATGTTAGTATTTGAAAGAGAAAAAAAAGCTTACTTGACTTGTTGATCCTATATTGTGACGATTTGAAGAAGCAGATATCCATTTAGATGCACAAGATTTACGATCAGTTTGATACGAGCCAGTATATGAAAGTACATTCGGTCTGTATTCCGATGGAATAAAACGCCAATATTCAGATACCCATGGTGATGGATGATAAATGTAGGCTATTCTAAGACTAATACGAGGTGCCCAGCCACAATCAAACCAATGAACATTAATTCTGCAACAATAGAATCAAGAAAAGAAGGTACACGAAAAAAATAACAACAACAATATTATTAAGTTAACAAAAAGAAATATAAGCGTGCGACTGCTTAAGTTCTCTTAAACTTTTTATTCAGACAATGAAACTTATAGAGTAAATAGTTAACATTAATTATATTAATTAACCATAAAGGCAGCAAAATGATTCTAATCTAAATTCCTTCTATTGTACTAAACTAATTGAATTAAGCATTATAAAATACTATTTGATTAGTGTGTGTAAGCTATTTATTTAGCCGTTGTTATAATCAACAATTTTATCTTGAAATATTTGATGAACGAATTTGAAAGGATGAAGTTTTTTTGTTATTAGGTAAAAAAAAACAATTAAAGTAAACCGATGCAAAGCAGGAACATTAAACTAAAATGATCATATTTCATCATTCTAACCCAAAATGTAAGAGCTTTTAGTGAACAGCTAAGATTAAGTGACTCAACTCACATAATACTAACGATATTCCAAATTTTAAATATCCTAGTTTGGGTATGGCAAAATCAAAATAGTATACCATGAACATGTATGGATAATCGTATTACTGTCTTATTTTTAGTAATCTTTACTCGCCAGGAAACGAAACGTATATATGCCAAATGAGACTGAATGAAAAAAATTAAATCGTAACACTATGTGCATTTGAATAATATGACTTATGCCAAAAAGAAATATTTCGTGTACAGTTTCTCTTACTAACACAGATATGTTAATAACTTTATAACCCTGTAACAGGTCAATTCTAATTGTTTTAACAGTCTAAAGTAAATAAGAAATTTCTTTTAAAAAAAAAGTTGAAGAGAACAAGAACAGAGATTTGAGCAGAATATAACATGAATTAAGTGCAAGTCGGTAGTTCTCATTAGCTAATGTATGCAATCTGTAATATGTGAGTTGAAAACACATGCATGATTGAATTTGGCTGAATTTTTGTTTGAAAACATAGGTCAGTATGATACAGTAAAAAAATGTAAAGCAATTGAGAACTAGACAGATTACAGATATGTAAATATGAAGAAACACTAGTCAGAAAGGAAACCGAAAGTTCAGACACATGTTTACGTACTGAATAAACGCCAATGAGAAAGTAAGAATGAAATAAGTAACACTTATTCAAAAAATGATGTAACAGTAAGTCAGCTGAAAAGAATAGTATCATTCACGACATTTTACAATATCAAGGCAGAGAAAGGTTAAAAATTATTTCATTTTGAAAATATATAAATTAAGTTTCTAAAGCCTAATAGTAATAGCTTCAGTAGACTTTGAAAGACGAGAAATTGGCTGTTTATTAATTACTAGCTTCGAAGATATTGACCTGTATCACACTAATCAAAACCACTCTTCCGCTTCATCGAAGGCTTTAAGCAGTGTATTTAAAAAAAAATCGAAGATGTGCTTTCTTTTCTGCTTGGTCAAAGTAGTTGCTTCTGCAGGTAAGTAGGTATGAAAGTATTTTCAACTAATATTGTAATTTTAATTCTTAGATGTTATAGTCTTGTAAACTATTGACGAGAAACTAACGAAATAGAATGAACTCGTATTAACCTGCTGAAATTTTTGTCTGCATAAATGATTTATTAGAAAGATATGTAGAGCATAATTTTAACGCTACACAGATAAAACAGATTCTTGAATGAAAAAAAGTGAAAAATATCAAAATCATTAGTTAGATAGTTTGTTGACTATTTAGTTATGATATTGGAGGTATTAGCATGAAACAATCGGCAGTCAATAAGTTGGTTTTAGAGAAAAAAAACACTGGAAATATTGCTATATGCCACATATTACGAATGTCACATTCTAAGAAAATATAGTAAAGCACAATATCTAAACTAAGTAAGTGCTTCCAGCCACAGTTACTAAGTTCAAACGCCGGAGTAAACATGAACACAGGAATTCGTGCACGTCAAGCTGACGAGTACAAAACTGGACGAAAAGCGCGTTCTGAATTTACTATAAAGGCACTATCCACCTCTGTTTAAGATTTAAAAACGGCTATTTTGTGCTATCCAGTCTACAGTAATACTTAAATCAACGGAAAACTATCTGAAAAGAGAAAAACTAATCTAAATAACATTAACTTAAATAAACACAAATATAAAATTAAATTTTTAGATATAGTAACAAAATACATTACGTTTTAGAAACTTTATCATGAAATGTCATTTCTTGAATATTTGAGTGAAAAGGTGAAGATTTTTGAATCTGACCACGAGCATTGACAAATTTCATACGATTATGAACTTCTTGTAACAAATAATATAGCGTACTAGTCTCTGGTAAAGATATCCGAAGTGATACTGAAGAACACTGGAAAAAATTTGTGACATAGAATAAAAGTAATGCAAATCTAATACAAATTATCAAATTCTGAGAAATTTATTGTAAACGAAAACGAAACCAAGATGAAAATTGAAATTACTGCTAGAACAAATATAAAGCGTTAATTTGGTCGACGCTGAAGTAAACAGACATCAGAAAAATACTAGTTGTTAAATAAAAAAACTTTTCACTGAAATCAATGTTAGACCATCATTAGGAACCTAAAAGCACTTGACGGCCGTCTCGTTCTACTATGGGACGGTTGGGGACGTTAGATCCCCATCACTCACCTGGAAAAGGTCCTAATTTTTGATGTTTTATGTTTTCGCGCATAAGTTGCTTGGTAGACCTTCGGCTTGCATTTCCCATTCCGAAAATCCTTGACTGTCATTGATTGAGGGATTATTATAGTACGCTATTTTATGGCTCTCCCAAGGACGTTTCTATCATGTATAAACAAACTCGATTTGAGTACTTGTGGACCTCGTATTTTCTGGGTGCTTATAGAATACACTTTCTACGCCTTATCACGACTTCTTAATATGGTTAGCCGGGCAGAGGACAAACGGATTAGAATAGCCTATCGTGACACAGCATCATTTGTCTTCCCTTACTGAGTAAGGTGAACTCGTAATAGTTCAAGCATATCAGGGACTCATCTTCAGGGCGCATAAACGAAACCCGCCTCAGGACAATCGAACCTCAACAATCTTCACAACTTTTATCAACATGTAACACATGAATGTGAAATTCATTAAGAAGGGACAAATTTTTCCCACATAATACAGGATCATCATCAACGATCGTTTTAGATAAATACGCGTTTACACGATGAATCAAAATATTATTTTTCATTTCATTCATCTCATCAATAAAATGAATTCGTTTTAATGACAGAAAAAAAATACGTGATTCTGATTAGATTAGTAAAAATACGAATAAATAATTCTTTGTAATTGAACCAGGTACTCAAGCAAAAATTGGTTTACTACGTTTTAAGTTTCGTTGGAAAATCTAACGTGTTCAACCAGGATTAGTTGATTGAGATATGCTGTAACGGCATCACTCATGAAATTTAGTCAGCCTGTCAGGTACAACGTACGTACGTACGTACACCAGTTCAGGTTTCCATACCGCATTAGCACAGAGACGCAACCGTCAGTTCAAATCCCATTGTGGTGCCGATAGTAGAAGAATTACTAGCAATGGAGAATATTAGGGATCGAAAATATTATTCAAGAAGTATAATTCAGTGATGAAGAAAGGAAAGTTCAGAAACGCAGCACCTGTGTAGCCATACAGACTAGGTACCTTTCCTAAACTTGTCAACAAATTGTCGAAACCAGATCACAAAAGAAGTAATGACTAGCAATCTAGAAGTTGAATGACTTCAGACTATGATTCAAAATTATTTATATGTTGCGGTTATTTAACACACACAAAAAAATCGAATTGATAGAACACAAATAGTAACCAATTGCAAATATCCTTAGAGTTTCAATTACAAAAAAACCTCACTATTGATTGGTCCACAGTTTTATAGACATTCAAGCATTACGTATCACAAACGTTCACAAAATAATTCACTAATAATCTACCGCAAAAAAATTTATTCACTTTAATCTGTAAATAAATTTAAACTTACTTCAATATTATAATTAATTGGTATTGTAACAGGTAAAAAGTCTATAAATGATAGATCAAATGTAAGTAATAACTTTTTCACATGAAATCCAAGATAAGCTGTAATCAAAAGTAGGAGAATGAATGAATGAATCAATAAAAACCCTATTATAACAAATTACCATTTTCACCAAATTTCGATATCCAATTGTAATCATTAGCTAATAGTATCAAGTCTAAATTATTTGATTTAATGTGAAATTTATAAGTGCATGGAACAAAACTGAGTAAATCCGGATGTAAACTATGATTCCAGTCATCGATGAGACCTGAAACAAATAAAAAAAAATATATCAAAACATATGAAAATTAAATATTAAGCATTATTTCATGACATATATTTATATATATATATATATACAAATGAACTTAATTCAACTTGAAAAATATTAAGTATGAGTTTGTTGTACCAGCATCAAAAAAAAACATATTGTGTACATGTTGATTAACAGTGGATTTTAGTTGTATGCAAATGATAGATTGTCGGTAATTTCAAGAATAAAAATAAATTTCTCAAATACAATAATAATAATAATAATAATAATAATAATAATAATAATAACATAAATTCTGATATTTGAAATTATAATTCAACTTAAATTCAAAAGGCATGCTACTTTGACTTCATTTCTATAGTATTGCCATTAGTCTTAATTCAAATGAATACATTTTACAGTCATATAGGTAAAACAATGATAAGGCTAAACTTTAACATGGTTGTCAGTTTCGTATTTTAAACGATTATAAATCTTCTTAAATAATGTAGAAAGACCAATGAACTTCTACTCAATTATTATTATTATCTGTTACCGACTTTATTTAGTAACTTATTATTTTTCACATAGATTTGAATTTTCTCATATGAATACTACTCTACATGGCATTATAAATATATGTTTAGAATAATGTTTATTGAATATTCAATAGAATGAATTTAAAACATGTTCAATGAAATAAATAAGTGTGAGAAAACAACAAACCAACCAAGTTTTGGGATCTAACTCATCATATAATTAATTACAATATGTGCTATAGTGAATACATGGATTAGTACAATGTTAATTTATTTTACTGAAATACACATTGGATTATATAATGCCAAAATGACATTGAAGTTTAAGTTAGACAACATAGTCACAGGTTTATAGATGTCATCATCTTAACCGTAAAAATAAGATTATAAATCAATAGATTCTTGATAAATTAATTATAGATTTATATACGCATCGTATTCATTAAATTAGTCGTGGAAATAAAAGAGATAATAGGGAGTGTACGAAGGATTTGATTTGGACCAATTTGGTCTCTCGTGCTGTTATAGGTATGAGGTCGGTTGTCACTTACCGGCTGCCCACACCGTGGAAGGTTGTTTCTTGAGTAACCTGAAAAAGAAGGTAGACTAGTGACGGTCTTAACGACCTGGGAGCGTGACCGCAGAGTTCAAGGGACAACTGCTTGAAGCCGGTCACGCACAGCCTTTTTATGAAAGGATTTTTGAGTGTTAGCTCCGCTCTTAAAAGCCTTCAGTGGGCACCCTTACCCAAGGAGACGGAAATCCGTGAGGTAGGGTGAGGTGTGACATTTTTAGGGTCGACCTTTTCTAACCTTTCCTTCCCTGTGAGAAGGCAGCATCGCTGCAGATGCTGGTTGTCCGAGGGAAACGCCTTACTGCTGTCACACCCCTCTACAGTCAGCAGTACGACTTCGCCCTCAGACCTTGAGTAACTGCTTTTAGTCTCATCGTTCTCCAGTCGACCTGCCTGGCATGGTAGAACCTTCAGGAACATAAGTTCCAGCCAATATAGCTCGGTTGGGTCATGGCGATAGGCAAGCCCGACCACCACGTCAAGGTAGCAGCTTCGGTCGGGTATCATGAAAGTTGATATTACCACAAAAAATGTTTTTACGTAAAACTGGTGAAGTTCACTTAGAGAGGATAACTTCTGTGGGAAACAATGACACCATTGAAATTACGGTAAATGGAAATTGATGTCTGGAGGATTACAATACTGGTTCATGACTAGAACTTAAGAGTTTTCCCAGTAATACTAATATATTAATAGCTTCCTGACTAAAAAAAATCTAGATAAAAGAAACCAAATGGAAGTTGATGCTAATTATGTTGCCCAGAAAATCGATGAAAACTTTACAAATACACCAAATAATTCAGGCAACGAGAACCCATGAAAATCATTCAGCTGAGATATAAATTTAAAAAGATAAAAGTAATAAGTTTAGAAGATTGGAAATTGAGGGAAGACATAGAATGGATGCATCTGTGCCACTGCAAACGATTTTCAGCAAAGTTATTCAAAGTTTCTTACCACTGATTACCATAAACCACAAGGACACAATCAGGTAGTCTAAACCAATTAAAATAACTCACTCAATATATAAATGTCTTCAGACTCAATGTTTTAGTTTGTACATCCCCGGCTTTATTCCAACCTACTCCAACAGCAGAAAACGTCGCTCGTCTAGGTAGACCGTGGCTAGGAAAATGTAACATGCTACTCAACCATCTCATTTGAAGATTCACAACCTTATCATTTGATTTGATTTAATTACCTCTTACCCTATTCTTAAACGCAGCATTCCTTACTAGATGGCGTCAGAATACACAAGCAATGCTTTGAAGACACCTGTAGTCGAATACTACTAACCTACGAATGTTCCCTAGTCTTTCACACCCGTGGAGTAGAATAAAGAGAACTGTCGCACAGTAAACTCGTCGGTCCCGATGACAGTTCACCATAAGTTCTGACTCGGCCAGTAGTGATCGAGTAGAGGGCCTGTACAAGGTTTATATACTTCTCTGGTATACCTCCCAAGGACGGACGCTGCCACAAAACCTCATAAGTGACAGATTCAAACAGCACTCTAAGCTCAAAGAATACAACTAATGTCGGACGTCGAAACGTGTGCCTATATTCTAGGACCTGCTAAACTGTGAAGGTTCGCTTTACACACCCCCTATTTTAAAGTGTTAGCTCAGCTCATCTGAAGTCCTTACCACCGAAGACGGAACTCCGTGAAGTAAGGTGAAGTGTGAGATTTTTAGGGTCAACCTTTTCTAAGCCCTTCTTTCCGTTGTGAGAACGCAGCGTTGTTGCAAATGTTGGTCGTCCGAGGAAACACTTTACCGTTGTTACACCCCTCTACAGTCAGCAGTAAGATTTTTCCCTGAGACCTCAAGTTGATGCTTTTAGTCTTACTGTACTTCGATCAACCTGCCTGTCATGGTAGGACCCAAAAGAACACAGATTCCAACCAATATAGCTGAGTTGAGGCAAGCTCGAACACCACGTCTAGGTAGTATAGTTACGGTAGAGACAATTTCAGACTTTAGAAAACAAACAATTCTAGTAAATAAAATAATAGAATTGTGTTTGATTGATGCCTAGTTGGTCGCTGCTATGAAGATTATTTTGAACGAAACAACAGTAAAATAACTAAAAACTTGTACAAATGATCAAGACGTACACAAAGAGTAACTAGCTGAACCTTAAAAATAAGGAATAAGATATTATATGAACAATTATTGAATTAAACTATTTAATTATGAATTAAACATACAGTGATTCGTCACAAATAATTTAAAAGTCTTGCATTTACTTGGCTTGTAAAAATTTTAGAAAACAAGCGTTTCAACTAATTTTACACTCTACCACAGTGTATAATCTATAAAGTTGAAAGAGACACTACATAAAAAGGCTTAATATAACGGGATGTGTACCAAATACTTAAAGCATTTTCCTATTGAAAGATAAAATATTAGTTTAGAAAAAATTCAACAACTGAAAATAATAGAACCGATGACTTAATGATGTAAACACTCGTATTGTTAACTACCACGCTACGACAGGTAGTCTACTTTTGTTCTGAATAGTCTGGTATTATTACTTACTTTCATATAAGGTGTTGTTTAAGGCTAACTGTACGCGGACCCTGACATGGTGATAACTAAGTTGCAATGAAATTAAAATACTACCCAAAAAATATCTAGAGATTTGTGTGCGAAACAATAATTTTACCTTTAAAATAATGTTTGTAATCAAACAATACAGTTAATTGTGCATCACGAATATCCAGTCCAATATCCCATAAGTGTTGCATATTCCACTCTCTCGGATAGTACATTTTCAAATCAAGCCTGATATATTGATCAGTAATCAATAAATTACGCCATAAATGGTCAAGGAGCAAAGTTGACTTAACTAGGTTAACCTTCAGAGTAGCTACAAAACCATTCTGATTGACTAACCACGGGATACTGAGTTTTACAACTGAATCTGGACATCCTGACAGTCTCAAAGACTAAAATGAAAAAAATAAAGTCAAACAAATAAAAATCAAACATTTCGAACTGAAGTCACAAAATCATGAGCAACTGGTCATGAAATGTAGGGAAATTCATGTTCTAACAGAGCATAAATACAAATGATTTAGGAAATATTCCCATATTTATACAGTTTTGTAACTGATATTGAAGAAATAGGTGACTCAACGTGAACAATATACGATAACAAAATCGGTGTATGCAAAACAGATTATATTTTATTAACTTATCCATGGTGAGAAAGCGAAATGTTACCGATAGCAAATGCAACTGCACCAATGAGACTAATTTACGACTATGTCATGTCATAACGTTTACCATAGGTTACAAGTACTGAAGTAACCTGTACTAAGAGGTTTAAAATTGTCCACAAGACTCGCTTCGACAGTTCACAACCTAATAGGCTAATGTAGTTGCGATTTTTCCTACCTGTGTTCCTATTTACCAATTTTAACCAGCAGTGTGTCGGTGTAAATGGTTACAAGACATCCATAAAACACATTCCGAAATCCTGGTCAGTTAAGAAACACAATCTTAGTAACTGCGTGGTACTTGACGCATTAACATTCCTCACCAAGCAGTTCCATTATATGCACGGAACCCTTTTAAGGCACTTACAATTAAATACTAGAAAGTTACAAATGTGTCCTGTCTTCAACGATCATATGTTTAGTCACAGATTTTCGCGCATCATACTTAACATTTGGCAAGTAAACAAACATATTGTGGTGGTGTTTTGTTCTCTGAGCTGGTTGTTTTGGTTGTGGAGCTTTCATTGTTCTTCTGAACAACATCATCAGCACGAACTTCAGATAGAAGTGAAGCATTAGAATTTCTCCACGTTTGGCCTGTAGCTTGTTCTGCTGACCTCGATCTTGATTGGTTGTTGTTGACATTTGACCTGTCGTTGTTTGCAACTATGTTTTGATTGCCTCCCTCTTTTGATCTGTTTCTTGATCTAGTGTCACTTATGATTTTCCTGATTGGTTGATAAATTGGGTCAATGTCGATGTGTTTGTTGATTGCTAATTGACCTGAGTGCCAAGCTTCTAAAAATTCTCTAGTGTTCTTTGTCCTCCCCCTACCTAGTATTTCCACGTTGTTCCAATCAAATGTGTGTCCATAATTGTCGGTGTGTATTGATATAAGCGAAGCCTTGTCGTGGCGTTTGACTGCTAATTGATGTTCACGTAAACGGAGCTGAAGAGGTCGTCCACTTTGTCCTATGTAGTGTTTTTCACAATTTGAGCAATTTATTTTGTAGATGATATTTGGTTTTTCTTCCTTTGTCATTTTGTCCTTTGGTCTACATAGGATTGACTGAAGTGATTCCGTTGGTTTGTGTGCCACACCTATTCCAAATGGTTTCAGTAGTCGTGCCGTATGCTCTGATATGTCTTTGATGTATGGTAGGATGATGCGTTTATTTGTTCCTGTGCTTGATTTCACTCCTGATGATAGTTTTGGTTGATGTTTTTTGATGAAGTTGCGTGGATAGCCGTTCTTTTGGAAGATAGTCCTCAGATGTTTTTCCTCGTTTTTTAATGTTTCGTATGTGCTGCAGTGTGTCTTCGCTCTCTTGAACAGAGTTTGTATGCAGTTGATTTTGTGGGTTCTTGGGTTGTTGCTGTCGTAGTTGAGAATTACGTCGGTGTGGGTTGGCTTCCGAAATACTTGAGTTTCTAGTTTTCCTGTGTTAGTTCTGGTGATTAGTACATCCAGGAATGATAGGCTGTTGTTTGATTCCTTTTCCATCGTGAATTTGATGTCCTCAAAGACGTTGTTGATCTGATTGTAGATGTTCTCCAGCTCATTCCTTTTGATAATAACGAATGTGTCGTCTACATAGCGAACCCACATTTTTGGCTTGATCACTGGCAGAATCGACGCTTCCAGTCTCTGCATTACCGCTTCGGCGATGAGTCCTGATATTGGTGATCCCATTGGTGTTCCTTTTATTTGTTCGTAGACTCTGTTGTTGAACTGAAGATATGTTGTTAAGCATAGGTCGATGAGTTCAAGCAAACTTTGACTCTGAAGTTTTGTATATTTGTGTAGATTTGTGTCGTTGGTGAGGAGCAGAGAAAGAGTTTCTTTGGCTAAGCTTGGTTCTATTGAGGTAAATAAGGCTGTTACGTCGAAGGATATCATCATTTCGTCGTTGTCAATTTGAATCCTCTTGAGTTTATCCAAGAATTCTGTGGCCGACTTAATGGAGTAGTTGGATTCATCCACCAGATGTTTTAATATCCTTGAGATCTCTCTTGATAAGTTGTAGGTCGGGGTTCCGGGGAGGGATACAATAGGACGTAGTGGGATGTTAGGTTTGTGGAGTTTTGGCCTACCGTAGAATCGTGGAATTGTTGGTCCATTGGATTTCATTCTCCATTGATCTTGTTTTGATATTTGTCCTGTTTTGACAAGCCTATTTAGAGTCCTTGAGATTTGATTGTCCAACTCTAAATAGGCTTGTCAAAACAGGACAAATATCAAAACAAGATCAATGGAGAATGAAATCCAATGGACCAACAATTCCACGATTCTACGGTAGGCCAAAACTCCACAAACCTAACATCCCACTACGTCCTATTGTATCCCTCCCCGGAACCCCGACCTACAACTTATCAAGAGAGATCTCAAGGATATTAAAACATCTGGTGGATGAATCCAACTACTCCATTAAGTCGGCCACAGAATTCTTGGATAAACTCAAGAGGATTCAAATTGACAACGACGAAATGATGATATCCTTCGACGTAACAGCCTTATTTACCTCAATAGAACCAAGCTTAGCCAAAGAAACTCTTTCTCTGCTCCTCACCAACGACACAAATCTACACAAATATACAAAACTTCAGAGTCAAAGTTTGCTTGAACTCATCGACCTATGCTTAACAACATATCTTCAGTTCAACAACAGAGTCTACGAACAAATAAAAGGAACACCAATGGGATCACCAATATCAGGACTCATCGCCGAAGCGGTAATGCAGAGACTGGAAGCGTCGATTCTGCCAGTGATCAAGCCAAAAATGTGGGTTCGCTATGTAGACGACACATTCGTTATTATCAAAAGGAATGAGCTGGAGAACATCTACAATCAGATCAACAACGTCTTTGAGGACATCAAATTCACGATGGAAAAGGAATCAAACAACAGCCTATCATTCCTGGATGTACTAATCACCAGAACTAACACAGGAAAACTAGAAACTCAAGTATTTCGGAAGCCAACCCACACCGACGTAATTCTCAACTACGACAGCAACAACCCAAGAACCCACAAAATCAACTGCATACAAACTCTGTTCAAGAGAGCGAAGACACACTGCAGCACATACGAAACATTAAAAAACGAGGAAAAACATCTGAGGACTATCTTCCAAAAGAACGGCTATCCACGCAACTTCATCAAAAAACATCAACCAAAACTATCATCAGGAGTGAAATCAAGCACAGGAACAAATAAACGCATCATCCTACCATACATCAAAGACATATCAGAGCATACGGCACGACTACTGAAACCATTTGGAATAGGTGTGGCACACAAACCAACGGAATCACTTCAGTCAATCCTATGTAGACCAAAGGACAAAATGACAAAGGAAGAAAAACCAAATATCATCTACAAAATAAATTGCTCAAATTGTGAAAAACACTACATAGGACAAAGTGGACGACCTCTTCAGCTCCGTTTACGTGAACATCAATTAGCAGTCAAACGCCACGACAAGGCTTCGCTTATATCAATACACACCGACAATTATGGACACACATTTGATTGGAACAACGTGGAAATACTAGGTAGGGGGAGGACAAAGAACACTAGAGAATTTTTAGAAGCTTGGCACTCAGGTCAATTAGCAATCAACAAACACATCGACATTGACCCAATTTATCAACCAACCAGGAAAATCATAAGTGACACTAGATCAAGAAACAGATCAAAAGAGGGAGGCAATCAAAACATAGTTGCAAACAACGACAGGTCAAATGTCAACAACAACCAATCAAGATCGAGGTCAGCAGAACAAGCTACAGGCCAAACGTGGAGAAATTCTAATGCTTCACTTCTATCTGAAGTTCGTGCTGATGATGTTGTTCAGAAGAACAATGAAAGCTCCACAACCAAAACAACCAGCTCAGAGAACAAAACACCACCACAATCATCCACCTGAGCTACAAGTTTTCTCCACCATCTCAAAAACAAACATATCACCTGATCTATAGGTGGGAGAGCTCAGCTTTTTGTACCTATCAATGGTTTAAATACCCGTCAACCTCTAGGGCTGGTATGGCTTTTCAAATAAACGGAGTTTCCCAAGTCTCTAACAAATGTCCTATGGTTAAACACACACCGATTCACAAATATTATGCTTTCAGTTGAAAAGAAATGTTTTCCCGACTTTCTTGCATTGTTATTCAGGGCGTTTCGGTGATTCCTTATTTCGTAGGAGTTTCTATAGTAAAGAACTATGTGTTCTTATGTAACGTAGGCCAAATAGTGAATCGCCATGTAAAAGAACAATTAGGTAATCATCAGACAAAAGTATGACTATGACTTACTACGAAAAGAAACTTTTTCATACATGTAATCATGTTATACATCAAAAAACTATCGAATCATAACTAAAACGATACATATTACAACCAAATAAATAATATTTAACAAAATAACACAGACGGCTTACTTCAAGAACCTCACGTCGCATGAAATAAAGATCAAGGTTGATATTGGTAGAAGATTTTAATTCGAAAACAAACTTTTTAGCAACTCTACGTTGTCCAACAGTAATAGGTTCACTGGGTTTAGCCACTTGATATGATGGTGGAAAGAAAAATCGCCAAATGATATCTCTAACATAAAACACAAAGTAAATTGAATCCAAAAACTTTTAATGACATGAATGGTTTGATTATATTCTAGTTTCGATCTTAGAGTTAAATTTCGAGGTGACAATGTAAACAGTAACTAGAGGGTAAAAGTAAAGGCTTTATTCACTGTTCGGCCATAGGTTTAAATCTCACCACTTCTATTTTATTTTCAGAAACGCAATAGTGTACCTCTAAACTTCGTATTATGCAATACAAAGTCGAGAACACGAAGCCATAATTAGTTTGTTAAGCTACATTTTACCTAATATTACTTGTAAATTTGGTAGTGTTAGAACAAAGTAGTTTTGAGTCCTACCTCAAAGAGTTTGAAAAATAAAATTCGCGTGACAAGCATGTCACTTAGTGAGAGTCAGTCAATTACAACGTAGAACTTCGTACGTAAGCATATTATCAGTTCAGGTTGCAGTACCGAATTAACACAGAGATGCCACTGTCAGTTCAAATGACATAGTAGTAGCGACAGCAGAATTATTAGCAGTAATGGAGAAGATTACGGGGCGAAGATATGACTCGAGAAGTATCAGTCAGTCAGTCAGTCAGATGCAACGTAGAAGTTGGTACGTAAGTACATCAGTTCATGTTGCCATACCACATCAGCACAGAGAAGTATAATTCAGTGAGATAAATCTAGAAAGAGGAAGATAGAGATGATGAGGAATTCAGGTTAGAATTAGAGAAAACACAAAGAGTGGATGAACCTGAGACACTGGAAACGGTTTTCAGCCATATCGTTCAAGGTCTCCAAACCATTGGTGACTTTCGTCTCGCGGACCCCAACCAGGTAGCCTACATCTTCCAACATGACTCAGTTCACTTGTTAGTGATTTCATTCATCGATACATATTTTAGACTAAGATCTTCCGATTGATTCAGATTCAAAGAAACGATGAAAAAAAAAGTGTCAACAAACAATACACACCTCTGACGATCAGCCCATGGACCATAATTAAGTTGGCATATTCTATTAACAAACATATGTAATTCCCACTTAGGCCAGGTATTTTGTGCAGTCACATGATCTTCAGTTAATTCTGATTTTTCAGATTCACACAATCCTACACCTGTAAATGAAATTTCATACATTAATTAAATGATAGCTGGACTAACAATAAAAAACTTACAAGATTATAAATTACTCAGGTTGAGTAGTATGAATTTAGTGATATCTGTTAAAATATTTATTCCTATGATAATAAGCTATTTGTCATCTGCAAATTATTCAATTTTATAGTCATTGTTATAAATACCATTCTGCGAACAATATCATGGTAAAAAGAAGAAATAATAACTTCTGAAGTGTATTATTAATTTTATCTGTTCAACTTCACGACAATATAAACAGAAGAATAGAAAAATACTAAATACAAAAGGCATAAGTAAATAGAGAGCAAACAAAGTGTGAAGATGTTTAGGAATTAGAGGGAGATTAAGAGTAAATTTACATATAACCTTTGATGATTGACTTGTAATTTACGATCTTTAATTACTGATTTCCGGAATTTTGACGATTTACAAATAACTCTTCACCTGAATCACTTCAATAATCAATGACTATATGAAGTGACATTAATCTTAGATCCGATCCTGGTTCCCTTTCAACCTATCGACAAACTAACCAGTAATGTACATCGGGGTTGAAGACGGTTAAACCACATTGTATTATGTTTAATTAAAATAAAGCTATGATTTGCTTCAAAACTAATTTATGCATCAATGTACAACTCTATTTTAAGAGCTTAAATCCAGTACTAAACTTAATGTAACAGTCACAGAGTTAATATAAACTGAGCATAACTAACCGATCGTTGGTTATCTATCCGAAACTCACTAGTATGAAATCAGTGTGATCAGCTTCCACATAACTACTATTAACTCGACGATTGGGTGCAAAAAAAGCACCATTGATATAATAAACTACAAAACTAACAAACAAATTAATGGACTGAATTTGTACTCTTCATTTGCTTCAATGATGTTTTCCAACTTCAGTAATCATTCAGAAAATAAAACTCTGAAGAATAACTCAGGGTTCTATAGACTAAATTGTTAAACAAATATAGAATATCTAAGCAACTAAACAGCACAAACTAAGGCTCAACACATTGAAACTACCGCCTACCTGGTTCATCCTGTACATAGTCGATTGTACCTGCTCCAAAGTGAAAAACATGAAACGCTTTGTCCCAACTTTTAGGTGGGCTAAAAGTTAAGATATAAAAGAAAATATACTAAATCTCAAACTAATCCATCATACTGTTCACAAAATAAAACACTTTTCATGAATAAATTTAGTCAATGAAGTGATTTCGAAGAATTTTACTGCTAGTTAATATTAAAAATGCATAAAACAACCGCAGTCCATCAATATTAAGGCATCTGCTCATAAATTCCATGCACTGACAAAGACTGGTCTATCCTGTTTTAGATAAACATGTATAACAGATAATTAAAAGCCCTACTAAAAATAAATTCAGTAACTAAGCGATATTAAAATTTATTATATTTTGGTATTTTCCAGATACTTTTTGCATCAGATCATTTATTCTATTGAAATCATGAATCAATTATTGTTAGACCATCATTAAAAACCTGAAAGCACTGAACGGCCGTTTCGCCCTAGTATGAGAATCATCAGCAGTGTGCATCCATATAACAATGATCAATTCGTGACTTCACTGAAACTTAAAAATCTTCATAACTATATGATGAACTTTTATTTTATTTTAGCCATGCTGTACTGATAGTTCTATTAAATCGATGGTAATATGATATGATCAATAATAAAAGTGACTCATTTACCCATAAAAGGTTTTCAATATGGTATTGGATTACATTTTTCTGAGGACTAGTGATACGAAATTACTGCTCAAAGCAAAGTATATAAATCCGTATATATGATTAGAGTGTTTTAATCACTAAGCCATCACCTTGATGAGTCGAAATAAGCCAGTTTGGACAGAAGGATTGTCATTTCCTAACTAAATACCTAAAGATTCTCCCTTAAGAAATAAGTCTTCAGTCTCCGAATAAGTATAGTTAAAATACAAGTTCAAAAAGCTATAGACAATAAGCAGGACATATTGATCATGTTTACTTAGTTGTTACATAAATTGCTTTAAAAAGTCACTAGTCCTAAGCACGACTTTTAAAATTGAGCAAACAACATAGTGGGCAAATCAGTGATCGATATTCTTTAATCAAACTATGAAAATGATGAATATTATTGAGCTTACTCTTCAATAGCGTGTTGGCCAGAATATTTAGATACAGGAATAAGAGAACCCATTAAATTGACAAAACGTGATTTGATTTGATGTTGATATTTATCCAAACGTGACGATGCATCACCAATACAATAAGACCCATATATTCGATTGCATGTGACGAGACATGCTCTAGGTAGTAAATGGTTACCGGCACATATGTTGGCCTAGAACAATTATCAAAGGTAAATAATAGGAAGTGAAACGAAACAAGAAAACTAGGATAGTTGACTTATATGCAGATAACAGAAACACTTATCTACTTAATACTATAAGTCGCTACAGTTGGTTGTATGCACATAATATAAATGTAAATTATATGAGGCGTATTATCGCAACGAAAACATAAACTACATACTTACCAACTCAAAATCAAATTTAACGGCAGGTAATAGTTTATGAGCATGCTTCCAGAACATGTCTAAGACTCCCGAATTCGAAGCAGAATCGCTATTATAATGAAAATGAATTGTCGGCAGTTAAACATACGTGACAACACAAAACTTAATATATGACACTGTAAATGAAAAATGGTAACAAACAAAAGTAAAAGTGTATGCTTTAATATTGTTCTGTCATAAAGAGGAGCTTCATAAGGAGCTTTTTCATCTACAAAATTTAAAAAGTAGGTTGAAGGCAAAATACTGAGGTCAGTCACCAAAGACCGTCCACTTCAAAACATTTGATCTTATGTGGCATTATATCTAATGCTTGACTGTATCTGTCATGCTAAAAGTGGTACAGTGAGACTTCGAACTCATAAGTAAATTCACTAATATTGGTGAAACCTTGACTATACGATATGGATGCTTTAAAAGCTATGTTGTTAAAAGAGTTTACAAACTTTAGAATTCCATGAAGTGATATTAGGATCAAAGTTATTTTCAATCCTAACCAACGACGCTCTAGCAATTACTAACATAATTGGCATTGTAAAAACTAATACTAAAAGAGTGGAGAAGACCATTATGATTTCTATCTACCATAACTAGTAGAGCAAGAAAACCTCTTATAAGAATACATAATCTCAAGTTTTGTAAGTGTAGTGTGCAGTCGACTAAGCTGTTTTAGTATAACTAAGGATCAATTTCGAATAAAGCCTCATAAATACATGCAATCAATCCAAAATCTGAAGAGCGAAAATGTTTTTACCATGGTTCCTGATCGTTTGCAATATCCGGCCGATGACGACTATATCGTTTGGAAGTAATGAGTTTAGAAGTTTCCTTGGTAATCCCTAATGCACCTGCTGAGCGATTCAACAATTCCGATGATTCATCATAATTTGGCTTAAAAATGTCCTGTAACATTTTGTAGACACCGGTGCGGTTAAACACATGGACATCAACCCCATAAAGGTAAACGTAGAGACATCTTTTCTGTAAAGCATCTACAGAAAACCAACAAAACGATGGAAAAGGTCAGAGAAGTTGTAAGTATAAAGAATCCAACTGAACAACAAAGTCAAGGTTCTGTTACTCAGCCTTGAGACAATAAATGAGCAACCAGACCAGTGTGCTAATTCAGCTTTATATGGTATTCTTACGCCTTTATTATGAGAGAATAAAAATATTTAAAACGGAAGGGAATTAAGTGGATAGACAGGAAAACTCCTTAGCATGTCCCGTACTGCTTTAGACTTCTCTTGTAAAACTGTAGCTAGAGTGCTAGAGTCACGATTTTGTTGAATTATTATAATTTATCTACTTTCATACCTGAAAATATTTTATAGTACAGGTTATCAGATACCTTATTGCGTAACGACATACAGAATACCTGGATCACAACTACTACCATGGGCTTTGAATTGAAAATTACATCTCTATGCTCTACATTTAAAATTACTATCTATATCAAGCTGCTCGTGTCTGTATACTGGTATGAATTTTATAGTTATTATTTTCAGAATATATTGTCATTACCTTAAAGTTGTACTTATAATGATGTATACTTCTTCTAACTAGATAGGAAAATAAACAAACCATGCAGTTGACAAACACGGAAAGTAAAAATTCATGGTGATTCCGAATCAACAATAAAGGAGTAAGGTACTGATATATGACATTGAAGGTGAGTTGTATTTAGAAAGTAGCACTATGAAATGCATGAGTGTTGAGTTCATTTCAATTTAGCAAAGAAAATTCTAATAACTGAAATTAAGGTTGCATACACCTTTGGCTTACGGCGGAAAACAAACAATAATTTCCTAACGGTAGCATATGCAAAATAATGTTACGGAGTGCGCTTTCTGTGTGGTGTGAGATATCAATTGTCAAGATAGATAGACAGAATCCTAATTGATGGATGAACGCCATAATATAATTTGACAAACTAATGGCTACTCATCAGATTTAACCCTCGAATGGTTAGGAATCAAAAACAAGATCGTTCAGATGAACAGCTTTTTGGTATAATAAAATAAAGCACCTGAATACCACATATGAACACAAAAAAATTATAGTGTCTTAGGTGGTTACAAGAAATTAGTTTTTAAGACACCAATTCTTTAAACAATTAAGAGTTGACTGGCAGGCACCTTGCACAAATCAGCAACGTTTATTAAAATGGCTTATTGGTGACATTTTCACTAATATCCGTGCAAGCATCTTGAAATTCTACACGTTTAACAGCAATTATGGAAGACAGTAAGTAATTCTTAACCACCTACGAAAAGTAAAGCAAATAATCATTTTAGACGAAAAAAAGTATGAACGTAAGCTAAATCACATCGAATGTGTAACAGAAGTGATAAAGAATTAACAAATGCTTCCTCGTTTGCGTGTCTCTACTCACTTCAAAGATTGAATACGCTGAATAAAAACCAGATTCAGTATATTTCACTGAGGTGTTATCACAAATACGAAAGTGTAGACGTTGATAATGATAAATCGCCAAGATTAGTTAAGCATAGACGAGCGATGGGTAATAAAACAATCTTAATGTAAGTATGTGCTTGTCATCAGTTTCATTTACATACAGGGATAAAATACAGGAAATTGTGAATCCAAATATAAGCTTACAGTTTATAAATGCTTAACAGAACCTTCTCGTTACAGTCAGAAAAGTCGTTAAACAACCTCACCTTTTTTTTCTGGATAGTATCTCGTCCAATAATTAAACACAACAATGACATAACAGATTCTGACAGAATAGTCATCACTCACGCAAACTAAGTCTCTTAACATTAATTTCCCACCGAGAGCTGAAAAAGATATTGAGCCTAGACAAATAATATTGTGTGAAATCATGGCCTACCGACACTGATGTAGCAACCCTTGATGAATCTCCTAACTATGACGGATACGATCAAGCCTACAACTCTAGCATTGTAGAAAAGAACATATATTGTCCACAATATGAAGGAAATCAGTGACAGCAAAGAAAGATGAAAGTCCCCTCGATCGATAGAGGCTGTAATTTGAGTATCCAGCGAATGATTGGACTTAAAAATAAAGTCCCTTTCGAAGATGTTCGACATTCCTGGTAACCTTGAGGGTTGAAAACCCGCTTTGGTAACGATCAAGTGGCATCGTCCATTGATGAAGGTTGCTGAGCACTAGAAGGTCAAACTGTTATTAAGCGATTGGTGCGTCTCACCAACAATTCATAGGCTTTTGGAGAAGCGATTGGAACAAGAAAATGACTAATTCGGTTTTAGATCTGTCACTCTATCTGTGATAACCCCAATCCTTCAAGTGACGCATCGGATCGTTGCATGGTAATGGATGAATATTCAAAGATGTCATGTTGTTTCAGCGACTTACCTGTTGTGATAATCTTGAAATCTGCTTGAATTAAGAACATAAGGTAATAATACCCCTGTGATCATCTCCTTGTACAGCATATGCACAATAAATTTCATACTGGCATATAAAAAGAACGAGCGTCTCAAAAGTTTTTCCTCAGATATGTTTGTATATGGTACACAGTGTGTCACTATCAGATGCTTAACTTCGGGGTGAAGATATCAATACTGATCATGATTCATCTGGTAACTGTGCACCTTCAGGCTCACCATAACCAAGGCAAAAAGGACGACATTAGTTATCTGTCTGATTCATCCCAGAAAAAATTATGCCTCAGGTGTACATATTGTGACTGCCAATCTGAACTTCAGATCTGTGCGTAAATCCCCTCCAATGAAACTGTTTTAAACCATCCTTGAACAGAAACTTATAATTCTGTCGATCATTCAAGTAAAGTAAACGATTGTTTTTAAGGTTGTTCTTGTTGAGAAATGTGAAAGTCGTACCCTCCGGAATCTTGCTTCACGAAGCTTCTACAAGCAGTTAACCAATGAAGACGTTACAAAAATGCCTTCACACCCCTCTATCCAGTTTTTTAGACCTAAATTCTGAATAATTGGTTTTAGACACTGAATATATCAATGGTAGTTTTCATCGTATCCAGTAAGATTGTTTCAAGAAAAAGGCAATGATACGCTTCGGTCGTCGGATGCAAATAGCCATCTGTCCCGCATTGCCGTAAGTAGTACGGAATGACTCAACCTATCAGACTAACAAGGCTGCGTATGAGTCAAATAATAACAAGGTAATCTGGAATTTTTCACTGCTCCATTTTTAAGCAAAGGCACATCGTTTGCAAGCGCTTTGTGGACTGGAACGTCATGGATACATTGTAGGACTTTAAAGATATGGTATGGTACATTTTATTATTCACTGCACAGTCCATTCACAGTCAACGTAATACTGCGTTCGTGTCATGTATTACGAGCACTTTTCGGAAAGATATATTAACCGTACGAAATATTTAATGTAGTTTGGACATGTCGATGTTCAAAAATGTTTTTTCTGTGGTCCTCTGATTATTTACGAGATACCTGGACAAACCAGAAGTGTATATGGGCTCGCCGTTGCCAGCGACATATTCTAACACTTTGTAAACCACACAAATAATCGTGTAGAAAGTGCTCCTGTAAGTGACCTGCTATCTGTGAATTCAGCCTTAACTGAATCTGCATATCTCATGTTCATGTCATGGGTTTGGAGAAATATTTTTCCACCTTATTGATCAATAATGCTCATGATTCACATAACTATTACTATTATACAAGCTGCTTCATTCTGATACAGTTTTCCACCAAGTAAACCTGACGAAATTATGTAATAATAAAGTTTATGCATTTCCCATACTTTGTTAACCGCCTTTTTACATCTTATATGCTCAGTCTAGTAAAGTGCAGCTACTTTATAGTTCTAGAACCGAAGAAAATGTTGAACGATGAATACGAGTGGGCGACAGTTAGCTATTAATGGATTGCTAGAAGGTAGGGCTGCCTTCGACAAACAGCAGTGCGATAAACACTGAACAACCCTCGGAATGTGCGACGTCCCAGCCAAAATATACTGCCTTTTCAAAGGCCAAAATGTCTCGAAGGGAAAACCCCCTGCAATGAGGGTAACTCTTGACTTGGCACGACTGGCTGAAGACATCACCCTTTCATCCCAAAGACCATCGGTCAGGTTGTCCTCGCCGATTCGCATCAGGCACGACAAGCCGTGGTCGGTACTTGCAGCAGCCAGAACTGCACCAGGCACCCAAGAACAGACCACCGTGGTAGTGCACGGTATACCCGAACTCACCAGCGGTAACCCGGACGAAGCTCACGAGCACGATGTGCAACACTGGCGATGGCTTTCGCGTAGCCTATCACTCCACACCACGATGGCAGTTTGCATTTCTAGGTTGCCCCGCCCGTCACACCTTAGGTCTATCATGTCACCACGCCTGATGGCTGTGACATTTAGGAACCGGAAAGACCTGACCGAAACACTACAAGCTTGGTACAGTTCAAGGAACGATCTGTCTAGCCACATCAGATGTTGCGAAAGCCGACCTAGATCTGTGAGACAACAGCCGGGGGGTCAAAATAAACGCACAAAACTGATCGTTAACCTCGGCCAACTACCCCTGGCACCAGACATGATTGAACCAACCGCGCAGGCAAAAATCCTGCGGAGACCATTTCCCACAGAACTGGTCGATTCCGTTTGAATAACTTGTCTGAAAATCAGACAACGGCTGCTGCTGCAAAAGTGCACCAGGTGCTGAGACAAACCACCAAGTGGCTCTATAGCAACGTAAGAGGACTGAGGGGTAAGCTGTTAGAAATCAAGAATATGTGCTCTCAGATGGACCTGAAGATCATAATCGTAACTGGAACATGGCTATTCCCTGATATTGCAGAAGTGAGCTTGCCAGGCATGACACTCTTCCGAAGCGATAGGGAACACCAAACTGGAGGTAGAGTGGCTATATATATAAATAGCCACTTAAAAGCAGAGAGACTATACGACACCCAACTAACTGAGGTGACAGAATCATGTTGGTGTTGTTTCCACAGGAATGGCACGAAATACTTGATTGGAGGGATCTGCCAACCTCCTTCGGGTACTAAGGCCCAGAAAAGCAAACTGATTGAGGTAATACTGCAACCACTACTCCTGGAGTTTGATCAAATACTCTTAGCCGGAGACTTCAACACCCCATCTTTAAATCTCAGCAATCAGAGTGTAACTCCCACTGGTTGGTTCCAAAGACAACTTGGTACAGCCGTTAGAAGCTCTGGGCTGACTGAGCACGTATGCAGTGCCACCAGATGGACTAAGGAAGGGAAATCCTCAAACCTGGATTATTTGTTAACAAATGACCAGCTACTGGTTAAGGATGTTCACGTCCGCGCACCAATAGGTAGTAGTGACCATGGCACAGTCTTGTTTAACATGTTAATAAACGAAACACACGGGACGATAACGAGCTCTATCTTTGCTACATTAGGGCAAACTATACACGTATGAGAGAGGTCCTCCCACATGTCCCATCGCCACGGGATTGGTGGAGGCTGACAGTAGATGATCACTGGCAAGCAGTTAGAGTTATCATCCAAAACGCTGTCGTAAACAATATACCTCAGTCACACCAAAAACGCGGGAATAGAAGAACCTGAGTTAGGCGAGGCACTGAACGCTTGCGACTGGCGAAGAGGAGAGCTTTGCACAAGTGGAAGGTCTCCTTGGAGGATTCCGATCGCAATTCTTACTTGGAATTGAGAACCAGATGCAATACCAAAGTTCGAAGTGACAGGAGACGCGTTCAGATCAAGCTAGCTGCCAAAATAGAGACAAACCCGAAGCATCTGTTTAGGTTCATGTCTAAAAGAAAACCTACTAATCAAGGGTTGTGTTCTCTAAAAGGACCAAACGGGGAAGACCTCATCAACCTAGAGATGGCTGAGATATTCAACACCAATTTTTCTGATCAATTAAACCAGGCGCCTACATGTTCGGAGTATTACGCCGACCCATCGATAACTGACGGCTTAGGGAACATCCGTATGACTCCTCACTTAGTACTAAGTAAACTAAAATCCTTACGCCCAGGAAAGTCACCAGGTTGTGACAAAATCCGCCCCATAGTCTTGCAACAATGTGCTGAAGTCCTTTGTTCGCCGTTATGCAACCTGTTCAGGCATTCACTGGAGTCACACCAATTTCCAGCTGAATGGAAACAAGCTACTGTCTGTCCAATCTTCAAAGGAGGAGATAGAAAGGACCCAGCCTGTTACAGACCAGCCGCACTACTACCAATATTATCAAAGGTTATGGAAGGGCCGGTTGACGAACAAATGAGGGAGTACATGAATAAGAATAAAATACTCCATGAAGCTCAACACGGGTTTCGGAAATGCAGGTCGTGTGCATCTAATCTTCTCATAGTATGGGAGAGCTGGGCATCCTGCTTGGACCGAAAAATACCGGTGCACGAAATATATTCCAGAACTTTGCAAAGGCCTTTGAAACAGTATCCCATGCATGCCTAATCGAAAAGGTTGCGGAAATGGGATTCACTGACCCACTCCTATCTTGGCTCAGAAACTACCTTGAGAATAGAAAGTTTTGCACCAAGGTAAAGAGAGTGCACGCGAGCTGGCGAGAATCCGCATCGGGAGTTTCACAGAGGACCATCTCAGGCTCACTTCTCTTCCTGATATTTATTAACGCCCTGTTATGCTCCGTTAGCTCACCGGCATTGATCTACGCAAACGATATGAAGATCTGGAGGTCCATTAGAAGTGGAGAGGATTTGACTGAGCTTCAAAAGGACCTTACATCTATTGAGAAATGAGCAGTGAAAAACGGTTTAAAATTCAACCAACCAAAGTGCCACGTCATGCTTTTCCTGCCTCATATGACGCAAATGACCTATACCCTCAATGAAAGTCCGCTCCCTAATGTCACCTCAGAGCGCGATCTTGGTTTAATAACCACAGAAAGCCTCCACACCAGTCCTAACTATGTAGGGAACGCAGCCAAGGCAAATGCGACTCTTCACTTTATGCGAAGACAACTTGTTGCTATCACCCCGAAATTATTTTAAACCCTGTTTAAGGCGTACGCGTGCCCAAACTTGGAAGTTCACAACGTCATCGCACCCCGTCTGCTTAAAAGAGACATAAATCTCTTGGATCGAGTACAGAGACGAGCAAC